GTTGATCTGTATAAAGCAGCTTTTGAGAGGTTTCATATAACTTTGAGGCAGTTTGTGCGGCGTGGGAGAAAAATTAACGGCCCCTTACTGTATGTGTGTTTTTAAAATACCTCTATTCTTGCTGTTTATTATGTAGGATAAATGGATTGGTATCTTACACCATGTTGTGAATGAACATGTATGGATATTGGAAGAAGGCTCCAATGGTGCCAAATGTGACCATGATCCGCTGACGCAAGAAGAACGGAACAAACCATGGCTGAAGAAAGGATCACAGGCACACAAAGCTTTGACAAAGATTGTTATGGATACACGATTCCTGAATACATTGAAATACTACACATACTTCAGGTAAAAAAGACAATCATGTAAATAATGGTTAGTAATGCTTTATTTACTTTTTAGATTGAAAATTGAAACCATGGCGTACTGTAGTTGTCTTACCAGTTGTGTGTTTCTATTAGTCTGGTATGTACAGTCTGTGCCCTGACAATATGACATACAACATAATATATTACAATTATGCTATAACTTACTGTAACTGCATGCATGGTTTTTTATAACTTCTGGAAAACAAACAATTTATCTCCATTTTCACATCTATATAGGCACACTGGATTCTTGGAATCGTTCCATAACCATATATTAATGTATGCTGCAAAGCGTCAATCTTACACGTATGTACAGTATGAGTATCATGTTTGTTTTGTATTGTCACTATTCAGTGATTCTATTGAATATTGGTATACAAATTTATTTTTTATAATTTAAGCAATTAGATTACAAACACAGAAACACTATAGATTTCTATCACTATGTCTATGGTAGTAAAGCCCAAATCAAATATCACTTCTTGGAAATCGAGAGAGTGAATAATCTAACTGCTTCCATAAAAAAAGGAGTAAGAAAACAAGTTTCAAAAAGTTTTTGATAATTTATTAATAAAATTGTGAAGAAGTAAACCAAAAAGATGGCTGTTGGCTATATTTTTACAGTATCAATAAGTAGTGACATACCGTACAGAAAGTGACTACAGTATAATGTGAGTAGTTTTTACTAAAACTAAATACAAGTTTATCCCTATCTTGAATTATAGGTTTGTTGGATATCGTCTCCGGAACCAGTTGGCAGCTATTGATTTTAACCACCACAGGAACAGAGATGTAGCAACCACAGCAGATGGTCGACCAAGGTATTGTACTGTATGTTTAGAAATATTTATAATTACTGAAAGTGATACAATATCCTGATTTATCTAGTAGTTGCTAGTTAAATGTACCCAAAAGGCAAAACCGAGATATGTTTAATTCACTATAGTGTCAACCAATACACATTACGCCATCACTTTCTGATATAATTGCTACCAAGCATCTTTGCAATTAAATTTAAAAAAAATTTTATTTAGGATGGAGCAAGAGGTCAAAGCAGGAGGTCAAAGCAATGGTCTGCTGTTAAAGAGGTCAAAGCAAGAGGTCAAAGCAATGGTGTGCTGTTAAAGTGTTGGAACCCAAAGAGTACTCTTACATTGAGATGCTCTTTCTAAAGATTTTTGAGAAGAGAGCCAACTCCACAGGTGGTGCGAGTCAAAGAATTGGTATTCTGGAGGAAGATCCGAGGAGAATTGCACCAAATATATCTCTCATCCCTCCTCCTTCCGTACAATCACTTGTAGAGGCCCATCAATCAAGATTTTAAATTTGCTAATGGGCATTTAAATTTTTAAATGAGGGCTTCAAATTTGAAATCTACTTTGATACCTAAAATAGCAGTATTTAAAATTTATAGAACTAACAAGGCAATTTGATAAATTTGAAATGTGGTACCCTGTGGGTATTAGAATACTTTAGAAATTCGAAGCCCTAAAATGAAAATGCACTTTAAATCGAACAGTATGCTTAATGTAATTAGTTGTATTGTAAGATGGTTGGTATTTGTAGACCTAACCGGGAATTGCAAAAAATGCAACTTACAGTAGGTCCTCCTGTAGGAATCAAACCTACGCTTTGGCAAATCTTGTGCAGTACTCTCAACCACTAAGCTACAAAGTCAGTCAGACAGCACCGAGCGGAGGAACTCTTGTGATTGGTTCCTATGCCTAAATGGGCAAAGCGAGTATACCTCAAGCCAAGCCATGCAAACATGTTAGTTTTTCTTATAGAAAATTTATAACCACTATATACATTAACAGTCGATCTGCCCAAATGCACCCTACTTTAGTATTTACTCTGTCTAACACCAGACAGTTTTACTTGTCGGTGGTAGAGTACTGGTGGTTAATGGGTTAAATGGCTTAGGAGAACCACAACTTTCGGCAAAGCGTTGACCCTTGAACAACATTGCATACTGTATAAGCCTGTACTGAGAATTGGACGTAACAAATGCCACAGACGCCCATTATCGATGTTTATAGTAGGTTATCGAACAACCTGAAAGACGGGGGAAAACTTTGAAGTTTTGAGGAAAGGCCTAAACAGCGGTTTATCGAGAATTTGGTATTTTTACTAGATTTCTTCACAAATGGTATTTGCTCAAAATTTCAAAGAAAGTGTCCTCCTATTTTCAGGTAATAGATTATTTACTTTAATATGACGTCACTCTTGGCACATGATGGTCAAAGAAACACAGTTACCGTAGTGGATTACAGTAGTTGTTCACTTACTATAAGTATTGACCTTTTGCACTTTATAAGTCATAACGGTACATGATACATATACGGTTGACCACCATGTGTTTCCCTGCATATAACACCTTTAGAAAACTAATTCGATAACCTACAATAAACAGTGATTAATTTTTTTTATTTCTACTGGTTTTGGCACCCATGGCATAAGAATATTTATTTACAATCTAGCTGGCCTATAACCAGTATAAATTCCATTAGGAGAAGGGTAACAGGCTCGTATAGCTGTCACACAACAACTAGGCACAACCCTTCTGTTGCCTCTTCCTAAATGCCCATGTTGCCAAAGGACAAACTGCCTGTAAGCTGCATGACGAAAATTTTCATTGTTATGGGCATTGTCTAAAACCAACACATCTTCCCTGTACCGCATGGCAATGTCAAGAATGTTAGCATCCAATACAAACTGTGGGAACAATGTTGTTGTTGTGACACATGCACGCCTTGATTGGGTACAACACTTGTTTTCTTCCTGTGTAGGCATTACAACACAATGCCCACACTTGCACCACTCTGGCACATTTTCATTTGGAGGGGGATTTGGCGGATCTGCAGGTAACCCATCTCCAGCAGCAAGTTCTCCATTAATTATGTCAGCAAATGCTGCTGGTTGTCGTCGTAGCAACTCTAAGGCCAACCTCCTCAGATCATCCACATTAAGGCCCTCCACAAGATTCTACAATAAAAAGATAATTGTCTTCAAAGTGTAATATATTAATTATTTAATTTACTGTCATAAGGATAAGCCAACTGTCTTGTTCAACCTTTAGGTTGTTATATTTATCTTGTTATTCTTGTATCAATTTACATTATTGACTTTGTAAATATTAGTTAATTATTGTACTAAATCTATTTTGGTCTATTACTCTATTCTGACATAATGAAAATAGTATCTAATTGTAACATGGATTTTTTTGTTACAGCAAAAATGCTGTAAATGATCACAAATGAAAGTGCATACTCTAATTTTCAAAACACAAATTCTTTGTTTTTGCTTATTAGCTTATATCAAATTACTATAAAGGAATAACTCTTTAGTAACACTTTCCTTCTGTTATGGGGTCGGCAGGAAATAAGTCAGGTTGATACTGTACGAGGCAAACAAAAAAGTTTCTCGGACAGCCTGGTGCCCACTTAAACACAGTCCCCCAGCAGTGTGTGAAAAACATACTAAATTACTAAATATAAAGCATTACCACTAATTGTTCTTCATGATTGGCCTGATTCTGTGCTGCATTTTCTTCAGGCACAAGCTGTCTGCGACCTCTTCTTGGTCTTACTTGTGAAGAATCTGCACCTTCACCTCTCCCTTGTGGCTGAAAATTATGGCTAAGGCTCCGTGCATTTATATGAAATAAACTATTACTTTGCAGAATTTTCGTTTTCAACATCTCATTTTAAGTATTTTCAATAAAATAATCACAGTTAAGTGTGTCAGAAAAGAAATTAGAATCAGGATCAAAATGTTTGGCTAGGGCAACATTTTTGTGTTTCTCAAGAAGTAATGGATTAAGTTTTAGGCAATCAATTCTGTCAGCATCAAAATTAACTGGACCGTTGACATCTCATACATAACTACAATCCTGGTCAGAAATCCTTGGTGCACTTAGTCGAAATAGCTTAACTTTTATTTCATTTCTGATTACCATATACATACTTGCGAATTTTATGCAAAATTTCATGTTCAGACATCCCCCTATCCCCCCAATCAATGTTGTGTAACACCTTGGACGTCTAACACACAACACACAACATTGAACGGGGGAAAGGGGGGTTGCTATGCTTGTTATTGAAATGGGAGTCAAATTTCGCACAGTCAATGTCAAGTGCGCCAAAATTTTTGACCAGGATTGTCCGAATATAAAAATGAAACTAAAATTTATATACATATACAGTTTTGACTCAGAATGTACCGAAGCATTAGTAACGTGTTTTCAACGTATATTGGGTGGCGTGTTCTAGATTTTTTCGTTGGGAGTTATTGAAAACGGCCTAGCGTGCGCGTCATGATAATATTGATAATTATGACGTCATATGTGGGGTGTGTTACTATGAATCATGAGAATCCCGTATATATAAAATGAGGCAGGCTACAAAATAAATTTGAATAATATGCACTTTGATAATTAGATTCATTTAAGGATGGTTTACACAAGAAAAATCACAGCAAAGACAAGGGCTTTAGTACTTTATTATAGAAAGGAATCGGGTTTTTCGAATAGGGAGATCGCGAGAAAATGTCATATAAGCCCATCATCAGTAGCAAGAATATGGAGGGAAGACCAACAACCAGTTGCGCTGAGATCTAAACAGTTAAAAGGCAACAAGGGTCGCCCAAGAAAAGTTGACGCGCGATCTGTTAGAAAATTAATAAGATGCCTGAAAAAGTCGAGGAAGGAAAATCCGAACGTAACTGTTAAAACACTCGTAAGGGAAAGTGGCCTCACGTTACAAATGGCAAGTCGGCGCACATTTTCGCGTAGATTGAACGAGAAAGGTTATGGGTTTTATCAGGTACGCAAAAAGGGATTAGTGACAGAAAGAGACAAAATATTACGTATGAAATATTCAAGCTGACAAATGAAGCGTTACATGAACCAAAATAAGAGTTTTTGGAAAAATGAAGTAGCATTTTACTTGGATGGTGTTTCTTTTGTTTTCAAACATAATCCGTTGAACAGCGTGATTGCCCCCAAAGCAAGGGTTTGGAGAAAAATGTCAGAAGGGCTATTGGTGACAGGGAAAGGTTCTAAAGAATTAGCTGGTGGAAAGAGACTGCACGTAATTGTCGCTATAGCTTACGGGAAAGGTGTGGTTCTCAAAGTTCCCTATGAGAAAATGAATGGCAATTTCTTTGCAGAGTTCATTGCAAAGCATTTTAATACTTGTTTTGCAAAGTGCGGACGTAAAAAGAACGGTCGACGCCTGTCATGTTCTCATGGATAATGACCCATCACAAACGAGTAAAGCAGCGCGAAAAGCAATGGAAAAAGTCGAGGCTGAATTTCACAAGATTCCAGCTAGATCGCCTGACCTGAATCCAATTGAAAATGTCTTTCACTTGGTAAAGAAAAGTCTCGAGAATGAAGCAATTGCTAATAATATAACGTCGGAAACGTTTCAAGACTTTACAGCGCGGGTTTTAAAATCCATGGAAAATCTCTCAACTGATGTAATCGATCGTACTATTTCAAGCCTGTCAAGTCGAGTAGATGCTGTTCTTAAAGCAAGAGGAAATCGCATAAAATACTAGGAGTTTTATCTTTTACTGTTATATATAGTAATTCAAGGCAGACTAAGGGCAGTATTGATTAAAATAGGTGTATCCATTTGCGCAAATAGGCAATTATCTTGCTGTCAACAAGTAGATCAAATGTAAAGTACAATTACACGTCTTCACAGCGTGACTCCAATGGTGCAGCAAGGCAAAATTACAGACAGTGCTCCCTTGATATTTCCTAATTATTTGCCAAGGATGCAAAAATTTTTGTTTACGGATACACAAAGTGGTTTGCATTGCTTGAGGAAATGCATTTATTCATTTAAAAATTTTATTTAGGTCATTATTACTAAATTAAGATCAGTACTCCACAAACTTAGCTTAAATTCCTTGACTATCTCACTGAATTCTTTAGGAAAATGGGGAGCACTGTTCAAAATAATGCAAGATATAGTTATAATTTATTTATTTCAAAGCAAATGAGTTCACCATTAAATATCATTATCAAAGATCGTTGTATTATTAGCAAATATTAAAATTTAATAGATTTACAATGAATTTTTTGATGGAGTGATGTATGGACCTATGACGTTATGTTATACATATCTGCGCGTGAAACATAGTTGTAAGTACTTATTACGTCAATGACTAATGCGATTTAATTTATAATTTGTTATCTAAAACATACTTAGCAAAGCAATGTCCACATGGTGTCAATCTTTGTTGTTCCGCGCGAGGAATTTGCTTCCAGAAGTGAAAGAAATGCCACCTCACGTTCATCATGTCCGTATTAGCTCGGTCAATTGAGCCACCCTTCACTTGCACGATAGGTGCGTCTGCTGTGGCAAAGAACGGAATATCAGCTTTAAGTTCAATGTCTCGGGGACATACGTTCTTAGGGGCTGGCAAATGAACAATATCTCCTTCAAGAGCTTGAAGGAAATCAGCCCAGACAATAATCTTTGGATCCCATCTGAAATCGTTCAGAAAAATTATTTCTGCTTCATCGACTCCGATCCATGCGAATGAACCAGTTGCAGGATTGCAAAACGCATTGTAAATTGCTTTCAGAGGTGACAAAATGAAGGTTTTCCCCGTGTTTGCTGGTCCGTGAATGTAAATATTCTGATATTTTGCCCTCCCCTTCTCCAGAACCGTGTAGATTGCCGTGGCAAACGCTGAAATCATAATTCCATGATGTTCCATAAGCGTTACTGCAGCAGTATACCATCTTCCTTCACAATCTGGAACGCAATTAGCACCTTGAAACTCGATTAAAATTTGAATGCGAGTTTTTTTGGAACGCGATAATCTCTCTTCGGCTTCTGCAAACTCTTTCGTTAAGGACAATGCTTCTTGGACGCACTTATGCCCTCTATTTGCCACGAAATTTGCCAAAGCTGTGTTTCCTTCCCGACTTTGTGACACAGCAAACGCTACCAGCTCAAGACGACTCTGAATGCTTCTCTTTTGAACTATCTGCGTCACATCGAAAACACTCAGTCTTTCGCCACGCTTTTTCAATCTTTTCCCTTTCTTTCCAACGTTGCCCTTCTTGCAACGAGATGCAATTGCCTTCTCGGTCCTGGGAGCATCATTCGAGATATCAGGATGCCCGTCTGAAAACAATGGCTCAGGATCTTCCTTCGTAACATACTTGTACGCACTATAGTATGTATTGTGGTTCGAACTAAAATTGACTTTGAGTCCGTGGACATCATCTAAAATATTTCTTACCATTAACCACCGTCCCCGTCTCTGCAACTTAATTGCCATGTGAAAATGGTAATCACTCGCTTCAATACTTTCACAACTGCTGGCAGCATTTGCATGCTTCTCCATTGCGACAACCCAAAAAGCTAATTTTATTCCACATTTTCCCCAGCTTTCTATGACTGCCTCAGCGAATTTATCTTTAGAAGCAATTTTAGTAAAATCAACTCTGCTGTAAGTTATGAGATAAACAATTTTTTGTTGTCGAACACCCAGTGAGGCCATTATATTCGCTCTGCGAATGCATGTGTTCAAATAAGCAGTTCAGTCGTCAAATGTAGTATTTGAAATGTATAACAAGACCTCAAATTACGGCTTAAATACTTTTCAAAATGTTTACACGCCCATAATGTTGTCAGATTAAGTAAGATTAAAGTTGAAATTCTAAAAAGGATATATGTATGAAATTGCGCACCTTTAATCTGTCATTATCATTATATTTTATTAGGCCTATTATTATATTATAAATGTTTATTGTTTATTTAGACGCACGTTATTAATACGCAAAACATTATTAAAGGTTCACTAACGATTCAAGGAATAAGACCAATGTTTTGTTATGAAATAAAAATGGAAATGTAAGATAATGCACATTCAGACAATCCTGGTCAGAAATCTTTGGCGCACTTAGTCGAAATAGCTTAACTTTTACTTCATTTCTGATTACCATATACATACTTGCGCATTTTATGCACAATTTCATGTTCAGACATCCCCCTATCCCCCCAATCAATGTTGTGTAACACCTTGGACGTCTAACACACAGCACACAACATTGAACGGGGGAAAGGAGGGGTTGCTATGCTTGTTATTGAAATGGGAATCAAATTTCGCACAGTCTGTGTCAAGTGCGCCAAAAGTTTTGACCAGGATTGTAGTCTAATACTTTCACTGAAACCAATAAAAAAATTTTAGGCAAAATTAACACTCAAAGGTGTTCGGTAACCTTAAAGGAATAGTATGTGCTTTAATTTCTTCAACTTTTTCTTCGATGATTTGTTTGCAACTGGACTTTTGGAAGCCATTTGTTTTTAAAGCAATAGTTATAGTGCTCAGAGCAGTAAGTATTGCCTCAGAGTTTCTGCTGAGGGAGCCAATCAGAACGGTTTCAAAACATAAAATTTGTGCTAAACTACCAACAGTCAATTATTCACTCACAGCTAAAGGGAACAACAGCAGTGAGCGTGATACGGAAGCGTTAGGCCAGAAATTAAAGACCCTTTCTTAACAAAAGAAATCACTGAAAGAATTGAATGTTCGTATATAGCCATATTTTTGATGCTATATAGTTTAGTATTTTTATATCCAACGTAACTTTATATTTTTTTACCTTACACATTTATCTCTCAAGCTTTCGATCAGTAACCTGTAAAATGTATATTCACCATCGGTAAATCCATGTGTTTTGAAACGAAAGCCAGAGTCATTTTGAAAAGACCGCGTGATAAGACAATAACAAAAACACGTCTTTAAGTTCTAGAAAATAACTTCCGTAATAATACTATCTAACCTAAACAGTTGCCAAATTTTTGGCCTTGGAATTTACGCCTACGACATATATGGGCTTAACCCTATTTGTACCGGGGGTGCGCTCAATGAGCGCACCCCTATAAATATTTATCCGCCATTCCTGAACAAATGATCCCATTTGCCTGTGCTTTCTTGACTTTTAATATTTTCCCTCTGCCGTCATGACTGGGACAAAAATTTTCTGAAAATGCAAAGTTTTCCAGACGTTTGCCGACATTTGTCAAACAAGGTGTCGGAGCCAAAAAATGGGAAAATGTTGGTTGGATAGTATTTTTTGGCTGAATCACTTCCCAGGACATAAATAACATAATGTAATTAGAGAACATATAAAGATGGATTATTACACATGATTTGCAAAGTAAAATATCCATAACATATTATATAAAATAGTAAAATATATAGTATAACATATAATATAACATACTATACAATAGTCCATATATAAAATACTTATTTATACTACACGTATTTTTCTTGAAATACTATCCAAACTGTAGTAGTATTCTATATAAAAGTACTGTAGAGCAGTTTTACTATTAACAAAAGAACATTTTTTACAATTGTTTTTTTTCAAACTGTTTCGGACTTTGTACTTTGCCCTCGCGTGACCTTTTCTTCCATTTTTTACAAGCGTACAATGCCATATAATAAAAAACTTACTGACCTCAACCGTTCGGGCAGTACGGGAAAATATCCAACCTCGGTCTTGCTGTATTGACCTCGCTATCGCTCGGTCAATACAGCAAGACCTCGATTGGATATTTTCCCGTACTGCCCTCACTCTCGGTCAGTAAGTTATTAATATTGAACACTTTCGTACAAGAAATTTTCCAATTGAGAGTAAAACTTTTGCATACAGTTCATACTGATTGCCATGATTTTCAAAGTTAATATTGTGCTTTCAAAACTATACTGCAGGCTCGTAGCTCGTAGCTCATCTGCCTTACACTTCATGTAACACATATAGTATATTGGTATAAAACATGGCTGCCATTTCGTATTTTGTCTACAAACTTTTGTTTATGAAAATATAATTTTAAAACAGTAAAATAGTTGTTCTAAAAATTGTGTTCGGAAATTTTTGTTTATTTCGTCATTCAGCTGATATGGTAATTTCTTTGATAACTTTTGTTGGTCGACTTCAGTGTAACGTTTTATGTTTACACTAAAGAAGTTATGCTAACAAAAAGTGCTAGAGTTTCAACAGAATGCACAATTGCGACACATTATTACAACAATGACACTGTCACAGTGATATGAATTTAAAATCAGTGATGTGGAATCTTGAAAATGATTTGGATAGTTTAATAGTTTATATGTGAGACAGGTAAGCTTCAGTTGTATGTCTTTTCATATGGCACAGAAATGCCAACTTGGAAAGTAAAATAGTGACAATGGACATCTGAGATATGCTATAACATAAAAGTATGTCTTTTGAATGTAAAAGACCCAAAAAATATCACATCCAAAATGTTTTGTTATCTCTTTACATAATATAACCAAAATGGGTAAAATATTAGCTATATTCGCCATTTTTGGATAGGCGGTCATATTCAACGAGGCCAAAACACAGCATTTTGGATGTGAATTTAACTTTTTTGTTATTTTTAGGTTAAAGAAAGATAAAACCTACTAAAAATAAATCTAATAGATTAGGATAATGGGAGTTAATCGACAGAATTTCTGAGGGGTGCGCCCTATCAGCGCCTAACTATTATTCAGTCGAGTGCAAATAACAACAAATATAGTCTTAACTTTGTATCAGGATCTTACAATCAGAATAAAGGCGACAAGTATAGTGCTAAGAAACTATGTTGTTGGCAACACCGGTTTTGACAAGAGCCACACAATTTTACAAATTGCTATTATTTTTATCTTCACTAATTTCACGACAATTTTTTTCATTGTTCAACGACACGGATCGATTACGACAAATGATAATGTCACTCAAAAGGACCAATTTCTATTATCCAGTCTTCCTTTTAATAAAAGACCGTTGACCATTAATTTTTGAGGTATGTAATCTTATGCGTGTTGGACGTAAACAACATATCTCGCCTGCAACTTTGAAAAGTTACAGACAACGCTTTCTAAAATCTTCTGTTCCAGCGATATCTATAAAAAATCAGAAGGACGTTAATGCTATAGTCTTTTGGCTATGTTACAGGCCTGAAAATAATTCTTTTAACGCGATCATGGTATTTAAAACGAAAGTAACGCAAAGTAAACGTAACGGCAAAGACAACGCTAAAATGAAATATTCTCTTTGGGTTGCTGGTAGAAGACTTATCACAGGATCAATCTCAAATAACCTTTAACTAGAAGAATGAATGTTCACATCAAAGACAAAGATTAGTGCCGAAGTATAAAATCTGCTCTGTAAACTTACGAAGAAATGGAGAAATGTGTGCATGAGCTATATATTTGGTGATTTCAACGTATCTGGAAGCCCTAGCTCTTTCCAATAATATTCGCTAATCGCTCAGAATAACACCAACTAATATAATAGTTCAAACGCAATGATAATTTATCTCTTGAATTACGTCGCAGAGACTGCATGTGATGTAAATTTAAATGCTGAACCATTACATAAGAATACATTGTTGTATAAAACATTTTGACTGCAGCATGGAAGGAATTATTTTCTCCAGACAAATAACAACTTTAATAGCAAGTAGCATTTCTTTTTAACAGCAATCTTCTTGCTGATTGGGAGTCCAATTCTTTTTCAATTCTTCTAATTAACTGATTGTCAAAAAATAGATTGTCAGTGTTCCTGCAAGGTGGCCAAACCCTTACTGTAATAAAGCATGCAAGGGCGCATATAGTACATTAATTATTTTGGAAACAACATCACGACCGGATGCAGGAGATTGTGTCCACGAAATGTCTCCATTCTGTTTTCCTAAACTTGAAATATGCAGGCAACTACAAGAAACCTCGTATATAATCTAGTTCATTAATAGAATAGAATGCATCAAATTTGTGCTGATATATAAAATTCTGTTATATGTGGAATTGTATGTTCATGAGGTCACTAACTACAGACCAGTTTCCTTACTCCCTCAAGTCTCAAAAGTTCTCGAACGTTTAATTTTCAGTCAGATTTCTTCTTTTGTTCAAAACTCCTTTTACGACCTTCACCATGGCTTTCGCTGAAAAAGGTCGTGTGATACTCAACTTTTGAGTGTACTTAACGACCTTGGTCGTACTCTTGACTCTGGAAAGGAAACAAACCTGATTTATCTCGGCTTTGCTAAAGCGTTTGACTCGGTGTCCCATAGCAAACTTTTGTTAAAACTTAAATCGTTTGGAATCTCAGGTCCACTTCTTAACTGGTTTGCTGATTACCTTCGTGATCGCAAACAGTGTGTTGTCGTTAAAGGAGCTTCCTCATCTTTTCTTAATGTTACCTCTGGGGTGCCACAAGGTAGTGTAATAGTCCTCTTTTATTCATTCTTTATGTAAATGACCTTCCAGAGGTAACCAATAACAGTACCGTTGCACTTTTTGCTGATGACAGCAAGTGTTATCGTGCTATACGATCACCAGTTGATCGTGGTCTCCTTCAGCTTGACCTGGACGCTATGTCCAACTGGTCACTTAACTGGAAAATGAAATTTAATGTCTCGAAGACGCTCCTACTTAGGATATCCCGCAAACGTAACCCTCCAACTCATTGCTACTTTCTTAACAACGATCCAGTTAAGAGCATAGCTAACCAAGTAGACTTGGGTGCTGTTATCAGCAATGACCTAAAGTGGATCACTCACATCGCCAGCTGCACTGCAAAAGCCAATCGTATGCTTGGTTTTCTTCGTAGGAATTGTACGCAAATGTCTGATAATCGCTGTCGTAGGCTTCTTTATCTTGCTCTCGTCCGATCTCACTGTCATATGGTAGTGAGATCTGGGCACCTAAAGGATCGTCACGTGATCTTGCGATCATCGAGGGTGTTCAAAGACGAGCTAGTAAATTTATCCTTCAGGATTACGAGTTGCCATATCCTGAACGCCTTAAGAAGCTTAATCTATTACCAATATCCTACTGGATGGAACTAAAGGATCTCGTCTTCTTTTTTAGATGTAAGCACGGTCTCTTCGACCTAGATATCTCCTCTTTCGTCACTTTTTCTTCAAACAGCTCGTCTCACACCCGTTCAAGTTCGGACAACTTGCTTCATGTTAATCATTGCAGGACTTCTCTCTTTAGGAACTCGTTTTTCAACCGAATTATCTTTCTCTGGAATAATCTCTCTCCCACCATTCGTAATAGTTCATCCGTTTCCTCCTTTAAAAACAGACAAACTGTTCATTACTCTTCTCTACTTCATTCATCTTTCGATGTAAACAGAATGCGCACTTGGAAAGCCTTCTGTTCTAAGTGCCGCTCTTTCAACGTAAGCTGTTGTTCGTAATTCGTCATGTTTTCTGTAAATTGTATATTTGCTCTCGTCTTTGATTTATGTTTGTTATATTTTGTTTTCATTAAGGTTGGTCTTCACATGGGGCTATTCATGTCCTGTTGACCATACCTTCAACCATATTTTGTAGTGGTTTAATCTATTTTATGTATGGTTGTAAAGTTAATAAATAAATAAATGTTTGATGCTACTTACTACTTAATGGAATCTAATTTATATAATGTGTATTTATAGTTTTAGTACTAAAGCTTAGCTAAAGTTCTGGTAGCAGTTAGTTCTTTTGTAAAATAAGGGAGCGGTCATTAAGAGGCTGTCTCCGTAAAAACCTCCAGGTCAATATGGGGCTCAAAAATAGATTTATCTCATACTCTAGTATTTTGAAGATCTATCCTTGGGAACAACTAAAATCGATTTCATTTTACTCAAATTTCCTTTAAATTATTTTGGGGGGCGATTGATGTTCGATTGGCCGGTAACCAACTTGAACTCGACATATTATTTTCAGCGCTATTTTTTAAATCAAATTCATACCTAAATTTCAAAATATTTGCTCAGAAATATAGACTTATCCTTCTATTTATGTTGGTAATATGACTTAGATAATTATTCTTTGGTATAAAATACAAAACAGAGCAGTTATTGACCCTCCTGAACGGATAACGGATATCTTCTCAAAATATATCAACTTTGAAAGCTTATTTCAAAATCGTGGCACTCGATTGGCACATGACTTTAACTTTTGTATAAACTACTAACATTTATTAGTCAACACAAATCGCCAATAATATCTTTCTGATTTACCATTTGACAAAAATGACAAGCACGCAAACTTTGTAAAATTTGAAAATGTGTCGAAATCGAGCATACTTTATTGGTAAACCTAAGTATTGATAAAATCACCTTACACTACATTGAATGAAGCTTGATTATGTAAATATATGTCTTTCATCATTATTCTTTGATTTGGCAGTTGAATCAAATTGTTTGAGTACAGTTTGGCTTCACGGATAGAGTCATTCAATGCCAGTGTGTCCAGTGTCTTCGGCGGGCCTCAATGCCACGTGTCCTGATTGTGACATGCTATACATACTTCGCTCTGTTCACTTTGTTTACCTCTTTAACAAATACCTTTTCCTGTTTAACAAATAACAATGTTCAATGAAATTGGAAAACTCAGAATTAGTCATACTACAGACAGAATTGTCATCGTTTTTAAACTGTTTTATAAAAGTATCGTTAGAATGTACGAATTAAATCTCGGGGAAAATCATATAGGCCCTGGCCGAAAGAAATGTTTACTCGCTGTAATGTCAAATGTCAATATTTCTTTAGTTTCGCTCTGGATAGTTTTCTAACAACTGAATTGTCTCGAGGTTTAGAAACAATTATCAATGCAACTAGAATTCAAATAAGTCACAGTTCTGTTATTATTTCTTATTGCATATAAAAATGTGCGAATATTTTGATATAATACAAAACAATTCAGCGCAAACAGATGTAACCCATTTGAACGTCTCAGTTATTTAATCAATGTTATTCCTTTTTTCAGTAAACAATAAAATTAGAAAGGCTCTGAAAATTAGAATTAATTTATATTCTTCTTTCCGACAAGCTTTAAAAGGTGATAAATTTGCAAGTGATAACTATTATGCCATTCTTTCACGCCAGCAAGAACAGTCTACTGTGTCTCGGAATTTTCCACACTCGGAAGTAGAAAAGGAACATTTCAGTCTACATTATTGCTTACCGTTATTCTCATCGTCTGTCAACAAAAAATCAACTGTCTGTCGAACTCGTTTAGGTTTACCTAACGTTGCGTGACCACAAATTGCGGCTGTACTAGTAGTGCACACCATTATTGTAAATACAAAAACGTCGTGCAATACTGTCTAAGACTACTATTTAATGCAATACAAAAAGCAATTGATAAAACTAGAATAGTGAAGCGAATAGTGCGAATAGTGCGAATAGTCGACGAATAGTACGAATAGTCCGCGAATAGTCGACGAATAGTGCGAATAGTCCGCGAATAGTGCGAATAGTCCGCGAATAGTCGACGAATAGTACGAATAGTCGACGAATAGTGCGAATAGTCCGCGAATAGTCGACGAATAGTACGAATAGTCGACGAATAGTGCAATAGAGACTTTGCAAGGCTTTCCACCGTGCTGTAGAACTAAATTTACCGAAGCGGGGGGTGGGGCTCTATTGACAAACATGAAATCGTGAAAACATTCGTTGATGTCAATGACGTCATACGTAATCGGTAAAAATTACGGGACCACTGAGTTTTAACAAATATTTAACAGGAAGTAGAATGACAATCACTAGAATGACGTTTTCCACTGGGCGAATTTGTTCGCGCGAAGCGACAAGTAAAAGAGTAGGAACTGATCCAACTTTTTCGCGGCGAATGTTGTCGCTGACCAATCACATTGCCGAAATTTGGTTTTCGCTTCGCGCGAACAAATATTCGCCCAAAAACGGGCTTAAATAATAAATCGATACCTTCTCTTGTTTCGTGATGTAAATCATGTTTTCCAAGCACACGAAATCACTTAAGCCCTTAAATCTTCAGTTACAACGTCACAACTTACAAGTAAAATTCCTATAAAATTCCATCAGTAAAATTCATGACTCGCTCATATGCCGGTTACCACTTACCATCAGGAATGATTATAAATTTAAAAAATATGAAATATATTTCCTGACGATGACTGAATTTTAGTCGAAACACGTTTGTCAAATTTAGCAAAATTTCTCCCATTCGTGCGGGCTCGTATTGTCAGCGGACATCTTACAAAAAGTGGGCAGTTCTGTGCAAAATGCAAAAGTTTCACTTTTTCACAACCAAGTTCGCTGAAAATGCGAGCCTGCGGTACTGGGAGAAAATTTGCTGAATATGACCAGCGGGAAAGCGACAATATTAAAATGTTTATTTTCGAAGTTACCATTGTTTTATATTTTATTAAAATACTCAGTGGTTCCCATAATTTTACCGGTTAATTATGACGTCATTGACGTACGTCAACGAATGTTTTCACGATTTCGTGTTATTATTATTATTATTATTATTATTATTATTATAAACTTTATTTTGACACGGTAGAATCATCAGTAAAAATTTACATAATATAGATATATATAAATAAAGTATAGAAAAAGGAGGAAAAGGGAAAAAAAATACAAATGCTATTTACAAAAGACAGAACAGTACTGATTTACATGATTGCCGTGTGTGAATCTAAGCTAACCAACATTCTAGACCTCGTTTAAAAGCACTGACAGATTGTGCCGAACGAAGTTCAGTTGGTAAACTATTCCATAAAACAGCTCCATCGTAGCTGAGTGAGCGCTTTAGATAATCTGTATGTGGCTTAGGGACAAATAATGTATTTTCATTGTTTCTCAATCTGTAAAGACAAGACCGCGAAATAAATATGTCTTGTAGATATTCTGGTACCCTCTTGTTTATAGTTTTATACGTAAGAATTGCTTTATGCTTTTTGCGATTAAGAGATAACTGGTGCCAGTTTAACTCCTGCAGTAAAGAATTCGAGGAGTTTTCATATGTGCTTTCGGTGATCATGCGAGCAGCACGGTTTTGTAAGTTTTGTAACTTACTGCTCAGCTCGCTGCCAATACCGTCCCAAACCGGGCAGCAGTAATTAAGGTAAGGCTCAATTAAGCCTTTGTACGCTTTCACTGCAATTTCCTTGTTTACAAATCGCCTCACTCGTTTGAGGGCACCAATTCCTGAGGATACTTTTTTACAGATAGTATCAATATGGTTCTTCCAAGTTAAATTTTCATCAATTGTTACACCTAAGGATTTCGTGTACTGTACTCTTTTAATTTGAGTATTATCTACACATATATTAAGATTGTTAACATCATGGTACATCTGCCTCTGTCGAGAGCCAATGACCATGAATTCAGTTTTAGTAATATTTAAGCTTAATCTGTTCGCATTGAGCCAGGTGTTTAAACTACTCAGCTCGGTGTTCATAATTTCTTCAAGATCAGAAAGATTAAAGCTTTGAAAGCTAATATTTGTCTCATCCGCGTACATACTCGATAAGCCATTGTTCAGGCAGTTTGGCAAGTCATTGATATAGACCAAGAATAAAAGGGGACCTATTATTGAACCTTAGGGGACACCGTAAGTGATTGGTCGATTACTAGATAGATGTCCATTTACACAACATCTTTGTGTACGATCTGTTAGATAAGAGTGGAACCATGTTAATGCGTTTTCAGCAACCTCGTATTGAGCAAGTTTATCCAGAAGAATTGCGTGATCAATAGTATCGAAAGCTTTTTTTAAGTCGATAAAAACTACACCATTGAGTAGTCCATTGTCGATATTTATCAACCACCTATTCGTTGTTTCGAGCAGTGCAGTGACCGTACTGTGCATTGTTCGGAATCCAGACTGACATTTATTCAGTAATTTATTGCACGTTAAATAGTAATCAAATTGGTAGCGAATAATACTTTCAAATAATTTTGCAACGGCTGAAATAATTGAGATTGGACGATAATTGTTGAGGTCGTGTTTGGCACCATCTTTATGGATAGGTGTGACATTGGCGATTTTCCATTCTTTTGGGTATATGCTAGTGCAAAGTGATTTGTTAAATATATGCGTTAGGGAAGGGGATACAACATCACTAGCTAACTTTAGTAATTTGCATGGAATGTTGTCGGGACCACTAGATTTTTTTGTGTTTATCCTTCCAAGCAAATCTTTAACATAGTTAATCTCAATTGTCTTGAAGGAAAACACACTATTTGTAGAGTTAATATAAGATATTGGGTTGACATCAATTATAGGAATACTTTTAGCCAGGTTTTCACCTATCTCGGTAAAATGTGTGTTAAATGCCTCAGCTATTTCATGCGTATCTGTTACTTCTGCACTCTATTAACAGTAGAGCGTTTGCTAACATTACGAGAATTAAGTTGGTTTATAAGATTCCAGGTTTTCTTCGGGTCATTTTTTGCTAAGTCAAGATTGGTACTGAAATAGTCACGTTTCAATTGTTTCAGATTGTTGTTCACTTCGTTTCTAGCTTTCTTATATAAATTCCAAGTAGAAATGTCTTTAGTGGTTTCAAACTTCTTTTTAAAATAATCTATTGAACGCATTTGTTGTAGTATATTAGGAGTGATTCAAGGGGATCTTTTTTTACCAATTCTAGTCTCCCTTATTGGGGCATGTTTATTCACTTCACTTCACGTTCATCAACATGTCAACCCAAACTCTCCACATGTCGTTTGGATCATCATAATTTTGAATAACATCCCAATTTAGCTGGGAAAGACCATCAAGGAAGTTTGTCTCATTAAAGTGTTTAAAATCTCTCCATTTAATGGTCCTTCCCGTTGTCTTTGGGTAACCAGATTTGCGAATGATATAGACAAGTGAATGGTCACTTATACCCAGCGAGAGGACACCGGAAGAGGTCACTTTCTCTGGGTAATTAGTAATGCATAGGTCAATTAAGGTTTGTGAAACTGGTGTTATTCTAGTTGGTTCAGAGATTAATTGTGTCAAACCATAAGTGTCTAGGATATTTAACAAATCAGAAGTGTTTGCATCAGAGATTTGAGAAGTTAAATTACAATTTAGATCTCCAAGAAAGTATAATTCAGAGTTTTCAGCATCGATTCGATCGATTGTGTTTTCAAATAGATTTAATAATTCTCTAGGAGAATTGGGTGGTCTATACCAAGTACCTACCAAAAATATAATATATACTATAGCCTGCTGCGTAGATTTTCCAGCCATAGCAAATTTTTTGTTATCCAAGTGACTTATAATGGATGGCAGGATTCTCGCTAAGGTGAGACCTTCCATCACTTTAGCAATTTCGCAAGTGAGTGAGATGGGTCTGATACCATTTTCAATGGAGCCCGGTGGAGATTGTTTGGGAAGAGGTGTAACAGTTGCTCTCTTTAATAGAGGAGGCAAATAGGCATCACGTATAAGGATGAGTTATAAATATCAGCGATTACTGGCGCTAACTCAAAGGCAAACGTTTTTAGAATTACATTCGGGATTCCATCCGGTCCCGGGCCTTTCCCTGTCTTTAAAGAACAAAGGGATTTATAAACTTCGCCAGTTGAAGCCAAGAGATCATCCGCAATACCAGAATCACCAGCAGAATAGTTAGAAACATCGTCCTGTGAGAGAGGCGTAAAATCTTTCGTGAGGTTTACAAAGAAATGATTGATTCTTTGCATAACGTATTAACGGAATCTACAGTTTCACCGTCAATGGGGTGCTCAAACCATTGGTTATTTCTGTCAGCCATACCAGAAAGAAATTTTTAACCTCTCTCCACCATTTGCTTGCGTCCGTGACTTTTAGGTTTCTAACTTTAGACTTATAATACGATTCCTTACATTCTTTGATGGATTGAGCAACTTTATTTCTCCAAAAGTTGAAGGAAGAGGACTCCTTCCCATATTTTGCCATACATGTTTGCCTTTTCCTAATCAATGATTTTATCTTGCTTGTCATCCAAGGCTTGTCGGAGCGGCATTTACGTACTGCCTTCATAGGTAAATATTTTTCAACAGCTCCTAAAAGAGTACGATGGAAACATTCAAATTTATCTTGACACGAACCTTTCGAGATTACCTCTTGCCATGAAAACGAGGTTATCCACTGGCCAAATTCTCGAATTCGACTATCACGGGTGTCTCGTCTAAAGATAATCTCTTTGGGCGGTGGTTTTGCTCGAGGCAATTTCTGCCTGACAACAAAGCAGTAATGGTCGCTGGAGCCAATGTTGGGTAATTTCTCGGGTACAGACATAATTTTAGCTTTATTTGTTAAACACCAATCAAGGATGCCTGAATCTCTTGTGAAAACTTTTACAATCTGCGCCAGGCCGCATAACTGACGAAAGCGGCTGGAAGATATATTGGTTGAATTGGGATTAAAATCGCCCACGATGCAAATTAGACTGTCTGGATGACAAGCTAAATGCGAGTCAACAGCACCTTGAATATGGTTATAAACCTTGTAATTATCATCGGCCGACGCATGTGGTGGGTGGTAAACAACTGCAATCAGAATGGATGACACTGCCCTCGGAAGTCGACAGGGCCTCATTTGTAACCATAAACTAATTTCAGTCACGGACCCAGGAATTTCAGGAACTGATAGTCTTTTACATTGAATATTGGACTTAACAAATATTGCTACACCTCCGCCGCGTTTTTCACGATCTTTCCGGAACAAGGTAAAACCATGCATTGCAACTGCATTATCAGGTATCTCGTCAGATAACCACGTTTCTGTAATACATACTATGTCTGAATCATTCTGATTAACCACGCACTCTAGTTCGTCAATTTTTGGTGCAATAGATCGGATGTTACTAACGAAAATCGTAGGGATCCTGGAATCAGGTTGACTAGGATTAAGGGCTATCTTTACTAAGTTATCTCCAGTAATATGAGAGGGTTGAGCTGACCGTATACGCCGCGACTTTGGTTTATGGACTGGGAAATAGTTTGAAATAAATTGTTGTTGGTTGTTATATTGGGAACTAAATAGCTGAGAATTCATTGCATAGTAGTGATTTGGTGTACAATCTCTAGATATTTGGTCCAGTCCGACTCCTTGTGCTGCACGGAGTAACGAAACCAAGGGATATTGGTGCCTTGGGAGCTGTCGATGTAATCTAGGGACTGGTTCCGCTGTCTTCGCTGGTTCAGGGTAATCCACCAATACCTTGGTGTTTTGTCGCTGAGTGATGAGTGTGATTGGCCTCATTGCACACATTATTCTGATTGATTTGGCAATTAATCTCTTTTGAGTTATGCAGTAATTGCAAGCTATTATCATTACATTCTCCAGACAAAGGACTATTATTTTGCTGATTAGCTTCATTGGGCCCATTGTTCTGGTTGGCTTTATTATTAAGAGACTCAATTATGTTGGTATTAATACAAAAGTTATGTAATAAAGGGTCGTTAGGTTCCTGCAAACGGGGTTTTTCCCGATTATTCTCACTACACCCAGTGGTCTGAATAGATTTATGACAGATTTCCTTTGAATTGACAATAACACACGAATCGCTCGATATATCATCGTTGCAGGGGATTTGCAAACAATCGAGTTTTGATTGCAGTGTCGCAATAGCATGCCTTATAGCTTCCAAATCAGCAAGACTCGAGCGAGCTAAGTTAAGCTTTTGTAGTTCACTAATAGTTTTGTTTGAGATGTTAATTGTATTAATCGTCGCGGAATCAGGATCATTACTCTCCAATATTTGGTCGGGGCCTATTGGCAAGGTAGATTTATTCTCGGAGAAAACTTTCGCCTCTAGTAATGCAAGACGTGACTTCAAATTCAAATTTTCTTTAGTTAATTTACATAAGTCCTGTTTACTTTTGTGAATAATTTCGATCTGTTCTGAAAATTTAGCTGTAATAGCAGCAGTAAATATTTAGGAAGTTCATCGTTGTATAGTTAAACGTAGTAACGTACTATACGAGCGCGAAAGGCTGCTGGGAATCGTTAACAAATTAATGAATTTTCAAAGCGATTCCCAGCAGCCTTTTGCGCTCGTATTCGACTTTTCCGCTTTGCTCATGGACAACTTTAATTGAAATAGCTGTACACAGATATATACAGATTAGTATAGATATGTGAAAATCAATGAAAATAAACGTAGTTAAGTTTAAAACATTTATTTTTGCTAGTTGTTTTAAGATTGCATGTTACCAAAACTTAAGACAATAAGCAGACGTATTGTTCCAAAATTTAAATTATATATAGTCACACTTCGGTTGTTAAATATATATTTCAATTAACTATTTAAGTTAAAGAAGTTACGAGTTAAATCTTCATCCCTTCATTCCTAAAACCAGTTGACATGAACCTCGATTACGATAAAAGAAGGAAGAGTGGCGTTTGGCTTTCGAAGTGCATCGTATATTTTGGGATTGCATTCTTACTTCTCACATGTTCGTGTCTTCGTGCCATGATTCGTGCTGGCAATACGACCGCCACCACTTTCCGTCAAATATCTCTGCAGCGACGCGAAAAATAATGTCCTGGTTATTTTCATGTTAAATCAAACATTCCCGGCCGTTAGCTGCTTTTACATGGATACGTAAAGGATAAAGCAATCCAAACAGTTTTCCTGTTCCATGTTTATTAATAGCAGCATATACACGCATGATCTACATCCATAAACATTTATCATTTGCCGGTGTCACAGGAGATTCGCCCCCCCCCAGGAGATTCGCCCGGGGCGAATATCCTAGGAATATCGCCCCCCAGGGGGGCGAATCTCCTAGGAATATCGCCCCCCTTTAGGAATTTCGCCCCCACCCCCATATAAATTTTGAATTTTTGATCTAAAAACAAAACGATTGCAAGTTGAAAAGATTTATTGTGTGATTTATTTATTTATTACAAGGAGACAAAATTACATACACATTTTAGTCTTCTTAGCAGCTGGTGGTGTGCACAGTCTGCATAACCACTCATTTGAGGTACTTAGACTAGTGTCATATTCTACACATCTAATTAAAGTGGAACCATCACAGAGATCGCATAAAATCCTGTTGTCGTATTCTTCTGGCAGTTTACATTCACATAACATATTAGGCCATATAAAATAAATTCCTTGATTCTCATCACCACGCGCCCGACGATATTTTGGTTTCCTTTTTTTTCGCGTTGATATATTTTTGTATTTTGTTATAAAATATAAATTTACCGCCCGACCAAGCATCTTCAGAGATTTCGTTGTTTTTATATTTTATATTGGAATTTTTGCAATATAAAATTGTTTTATCGTTAATATTGCAACATGTTAAGGGATGCTTGGAATACTGAAGAAAAAAATGGGCTTATAACCTTATTACAACGATTTGTGTGGACCCTTATGCATGTTCATTAGCGCATGTGCAATTATCCACTTATACAGCGTTCTTCTATAATATATTTAAGGGCAAATATAAAAAGACCTCCCTCTCCAATTTTTTTAAATTTTAAACTTTTCCGGTATGTTCTTCAATATGGTGGGTGGGTGGTTTGACTTATTGTGTACATATCGTGGCACGTTGTTGGGTTTGGTATATGGCATGTACTTTCCATTCTCCAGATCTAAGGTAACGTCTAAGAAATTTATTGCGGTTTTATTTGCTTCAATCGTGATTTTTAGTCCGTGATTCTTAAAAAGTGCACATATGCCCTTTTTAATTAGTTCGACTCTCCGAGGTGTGTCCTTCGAAATTCCGAGTCCATAATCCCTATAGAGACCGAATGTGTTGCCATATTTCGCTGAGATTTGGTGTAGGAGATATGCTCCTACCAACTCGCAGGTCTCAGCACCATCGTAACTGCCCATCGTTACGTCGAAATGGTTGTTGGTGGCTTTCTAGTCAAATCGCAAAAATTCCAATATAAAATATAAAAACAACGAAATCTCTGAAGATGCTTGTCGGGCGGTAAATTTATATTTTATAACAAAATACAAAAATATATCAACGCGGAAACCAAAATATCGTCGGGCGGTGATGAGAATCAAGGAATTTATTTTATATGGCCTAATATGTTATGTGAATGTAAACTGCCAGAATAATACGACAACATGATTTTATTCGATCTCTGTGATGGTTCCACTTTAGATGTGTAGATTATGACACTAGTCTAAGTACCTCAAATGAGTGGTTATGCAGACTGTGCACACCACCAGCTGCTAAGAAGACTAAAATGTGTATGTAATTTTGTCTCCTTGTAATAAATAAATAAATCACACAATAAATCTTTTCAACTTGCAATCGTTTTGTTTTTAGATCAAAAATTCAAAATTTATATGGGGGGGGGCGAAATTCCTAAAGGGGGGGGCGATATTCTTAGGAGATTCGTCCCCCTGGGGGGAGATTCGTCCCCCTAGGAATATCGCCCCCCTTTTAAGAGGGGGGGGCGAATCTCCTGGGGGGGGGGCGAATCTCCTGTGACACCGGTACATTATTAGCCACGGTCAAAAACGAATGACAGTTGGCAATAACGAATTGTTACAGAGGACATTTCAGCGTCTACTTTCCCAAATGTTTGATGAGAGTTGCAACTATTTTTTAGCTTAAATATATTACATTTAGATAGTGTTGGTAATTGGGAAAGTATTAAGAGACAGGTGACCAAGATTTTTGCTAGTTTTAAGATTGCCGATTGCGTGTTACCAAAACAAAGACTAAGCAGACGTATTGTCCCAATAATTTAAATTATATATAGTCACACTTCGGTTATTAAATATATTTCAATTAACTATTTATGTTAAGTAGTTACGAGTTAAATCTTCATCCCTTTATTCCTAAAACCGATTGACGTGAACCTCGATTACGATAAAATGAAGGAAGACGGTGGCATTTGGCTTTCGAAATGCATCGTATATTTTGGAATAGCATTCTTATACTTCTCCCATGTTCGTCAGTGCCTTCGCGCCATGATTCGTGCTGGTAATACGACGCCACTCTCCGCCAAATAGAGAGTTTGAGCAAGACAACGAAGTACGAAGACGAAGGCATACTTGACAATTTTTGCCGCCTGCACATTATCTTGCGCATAGTGAGTTGGACGTCACTGGTAGTTGCTCAACGTGTCTTCCCATGTGTTGCTGTTTATGAATACTGACCATAATTCTTGCCCTGATCCAGAAGGGAACAACGAGACATGAAACTATACCCCGTCTTTGTCCTTCTGCCTTCGTGCAGAACGAAGTTCACAACGAATTTTGCCAAAATATTCGTTGTGAACGAAGGCAGAAGAACGAAGACGAGATATGGATTCATGTCTCGCTGTTTTATCCTGATCAGGGTAAGGATTTGAGTCAGCATTCACAAACAGCTAGACATGAATCTCTAATCTGTCTTCACTCCTGACCCTAAACTCAGACTGCGCAAGATAATGTGCAAGACAGGCAAAAATTGTCAACCACGTCGTCGTCGTCCGACTTCGTTCTCTTGCTCAAACTCTCTATTAGAGAGTTTGAGCAATATCGCATCTGTAGCTACGCAAAAAATACTGTCCTGGTTATTTTCACTGTTAAATCGAACATTCCCGCTAGCTGCTCTTACATGGATACGTATAAAGGACAAAGCAATCCAAACAGTTTTCGTGTTTGAGAATTTTTTATTTAACATAGGTTTTCCATGTTTAATAGCAGAACATACACGAATGACCAACGTGTATAGGCCTACGCATAAACATTCAATCATTATTTGTACATTATTAGCCACGGTCAAAAACGAATCACAGTTGGCAATAACGAATTGTTACAGCGGACATTTCATGCAATGTCTACTTTCCCAAATGTTTGATGAGAGTTCCAATTATTGTTGAACTTAAATATATTATATGATCACATGATAGTGTTGGGAGAGTATAAAGAGCGGAGAGGTGACCAAGATGGCAAGATCGCGTGAGCGCCAACACTCATTCATACACTCTCATAACTGTCAGACTGACCCTGAAGAAACATTCATATGCAGTAATGTGTGCATTTAAAAAGGTTAAAATTAAAAAAGAAGGGAGACATTATACTATAGGAATATATGGAGAGACTTGCATGCTGGTGGCTAAATTCCCAGGATTTTTAAAGAACATAATACATGAATCATATCCGACGAAAATCAGTTCAGAAAGTACTAGACGTATTGTTTGAAAATATGAATTAGTCACACTTCAGTTATAAGTATATTTCAATGAACTGTCGATGTAAAAAAAATACGAGTTAAGGACTTATGTCTCAGCCGTTTTGAGCATCCTAAACACAATTCGACCTGAACCACGATCGACTGCGATAAAATGAAGGAAGAATGGCATTTGGCTTGCGAAGTGCATCGTAAAATTTTTTGGAACAGCATTCTTATTTCTATTATTATAACGACATGTGTTCGCAGGCTGTTTGCGGAGATAGTCAATTGATTTTTGTACTATATAAATAAACGATGTGAATCGTTCTGCAAACCAGTAACTACAGTAACGCAGACAATCAGTGTAGTTAGTAGTAAATACGCACCGACAAACTCGGTGCAACAGCTCCAATCAACAGACCAATTGATTGCGCAACGAGACATGTGAGTATAGTAATAGTCAAAAACTGCCAGTATCGTATCCCATCGTATGGCTGTTCAGTCATGAAGTACACAATAGGACAGTAGATAACCGGAAATATTATATGAAAGAGAAAAAGAAAATATAAAATCGGGATTTTATGTTTGGAGTTGAATAGTTCAATATCTCCATGCATTAATGAGTTTAGTAAACTAAGAAATTACAGTTTATTATCAATAAACTATCAGTTCATAGTGGACAGCTCTTGTTAGTTATGTTTAAAATGCTCCATCCTGGAGACCCAGTATAAGGGCCATGAGCTTAGTAGGAACCTTGTTCCCGAAGAAAACCTGTGGTATTTGATAGACAAATCAAACTGACCAACTCTTCTAATCAAGATATTAAGGTGAACATTTTGACATGCACAGAAAATCTTTCAAAATATGATATGGATGGCAGTTATTAATTAAATTTAATAGAAATACCTGAAACTTCTATTATTACAAGTTACGAAGTAATGCTAAAAAAATGGGCGCAAGGGGATAGTTTTGGGGCAGCTTGTAATATTATACCTGAAGTGGTAGATCAGCCATTGTCTTCGCTAAGTAATACGACTTTAAACTGCCCCATTTGTTCAAATGTTCTCTGATAAATACTAGCTTTTCTGTGGGAACGGAAAATTAATATATAAGTTCTCTTGTACTTGCTTCCGTATTGTATAAAAAAGAAGGAAGAATGTAGTGTAGGGAAATTTAAATAGGCAGGAGCCAGTGTGACATTGAAGAAATGAATGACATTGTACAAAATAATGTTCACGAAATATCATATTAATAACATACGCACAAACGAGAAATTTATAAATTTTCAGTTCTACGGGAGGTTTTGAGGCCCCATTTAAGCCATGATTCCGTTTAAGTTATTTTAAACAAAATGTATCAGATAACATTTTGTTGATCTTTGAATAAATTATGCGGCAATTGCATTCTCTGTACAATGAAACAACATTTCAGGTTTATAAGTGTAATAGTTATTCTCGTTTTTTCGCTATATTTATCTATTTAACACCCCCACCATATTTTTTCTTTGGGGCGGAGGAAGGACACCTATACATAGCAGAACATCCTTATGTGATATAAATTTTGTCACGATATATAACAAGATAAGCACCCGAAGTTCAAAATGTGCAGGTATATGAATAAATTTATGAAACTATGTAGATTTGTTGTTCTGCTTGCTAAATTAAGATTTCAAAGACTTCAAAAGATCATGACGCCACACAAATTATACATATATGGCTTTATGATTTTTATTAGCCACGGTCAAACACGAATGAGAGTTAATGAGAATACACGCTTCCGTAAAGTAGGTCACCTTGGCTATAGAGCCTCGTTTTCGTGATTGAGACGTGGCCTTTAACTGATGTCAGATACACGAAATCGAGGCTTTAAAGCCAAAGTGACGTACTTTCCGGAAGGCTGTATTGGCAATCACGAATTGTTACTGGGGACATTTCTCTTGGTCTACTTTCACAGAAATTTGATGCGGGCTCCACCTATTTTTTAACTTAAATAGATTACATGTTGTGTTGGGAATTCGAAAGTATTAAGAGACAGGTGACCAAGATCGCATAACTACTAACTCTAATGCACTCTCATCCTCGTCTGGGGTCCGCACTTTAAGTCTGGTTTCCATATGGTCAATGGCCAGTTTATAATAGTTTATACCTGTAGTCACATAATATAAATCATACGTATTCTCTAGTTATAATCACTCCGCGTATTTTCAGTTCTAAGGTGTGGTCTTTCGGCTGATGAGAAAGATAGTGACCAGGCTTTAGTCAACAGTTGAACATCGTAACAAGGAGATCGACCGTGAACAAACATTCAGATACAGTGCATTTAAAAAGTTTAAAATAAAAGGAACCGAGACAGGATACTAGGAATATCATTCTGGTATAAATTCCCAGCATTTTTAAACAGCAACCTTACATAAGATAATAATATGAGGCAAACTAAGATCAGTCAGGTCAGAACGACGACGTATATATTGTTTCAAATTGTTCAAATTGTAAACTAGGCACAGTTCAATTATTAAATATATTTCAATGAACTGTCTATGTAAAAAATACGAGTTAAGTTAATAAGTAATCATTTTTCAGTTTCGAGCATCCTAAACCACCATTTGACTTGAACCTCGACTACGGTAAAATGAATGAAGAATGGCATCATCCTCGTACCCAGGGTCTTGTTGGTACATTTGGCTTCTCGAAGTGCATCGTTCTTAATTATATGCATGACAATATGTCAACATAGCCTCCTCCGCAAGCTCTCTATGGGTTCTAGCCTGCGAATGGAATGTCAACATATCTCCAACTGGTTATGATTCTACAGTATTGGACAATGGCATGCACTTAATTCATGCACGCAACACAATCACGCCGCAAGGGCCCTAGCTGCCAATCATATGCAACAGGTTTCTCGGTGAAGAATCTGTTTATATTCATTAGTATCTGTATTTTTGAAGACATAACACACTCCATGGAAATGTTCGAATATTAATTTAAATGAATATATATGTAATTAAGCTTAACAAAACATTTTTTTACTAGTTTCAAGATTGCGTGTTTACCAACGCCAAGAGTGCACGTAGGCATATTGTCCCAAAATTCAAATGAGTCACACTTCAATTAATAATATATTCCAATAAACTGTTGGAGATAAATATAGTTACGAGTTAAATATTCATCCCTCAGTATCGTGAACACCAGCTGATCTGAACTGCGCCTACGGTAAATGAAGGAAAAATGGCATTTGGCTTACGAAGTGCATCGTGTGTTTTTTGGAACAGCATTCTTACTTCTGACATGTTCGTGTCTTCGTGCCATGATTCGTGCTACTAATACAACGCCACTCTTCACCAAATCTCGCATCAGCTACGCGATAAATGCTGTTCTCGTTTTTTTTACCTTAAGTCGAGCATTGGCGCTGCTTTTACATGGATACGTAAACGACGAAGCAATCCTAACAGTTTTTGCGTTGGACGAATTTCTTTTGAACATAGGTTTTCCATGTTTAATAGCTGCGTATACTCGCATGATCTACCCTTGGCTCGCATATCTTAAACATCGTGTACGGCGTGTGTTCAATATTCTGATAGTGCAATGCTATATATTTATCCTAGCAGGAATCGCAGGGACAACTTATGATCAACATGTAAGTTTATACGTCAAACTCATACTACCATCATGCTCTATTCTGTGTGCACTGTGCGCCTTCATTACTTACGCGAAGACTTTCTACAGCAATTCTTCTAACGATATTGAAAAATCGAATGACCTGACAGTAGGAATCATTAATACAACAAGCTGTGAAACGGCAGCCAATGACATGAATGAAAGGAAAGGTACAACTGAAGAAAACATCGTTACTGTCTCGATATCGTGTATATGGATCATATGCGTTGTGGTCTGGGGCTGTATTGTGTCTGGAAACCTTAAGCGGTGGGAAAGCGATATATACGTCGAGAGTTGGTATTCGTGGATGTACGCAAACGTACTTCGTATGATAGAATTGGGAAACGCTGCCATCATGTCACGTCTGGTACAACGTGTCACGCTCAAGCAAAAATTTCCGTTGCTGATGTAAACTGTAAAACATTCAGTCGATTATGCCATCTCGATTGTGACCGAGTTTAGATGATCTCAAAATTTAGAGAGTGCAATAACAATTCGTTATACTTGAATAATATATTTTTAATTAAACAAATAATGAAACGTGCATGCATGGCTGATATTCTCAGGCAGCATTTACACTGTACCGTTTTCGTAGCGTTCTCGTATTGTTCGAGAGAACTAGACTATTGTCTTGCGTTCCCTTGAGGATTAAGAACAATACGAGAACGCTACGAAAACGGTACAGTGTAAACGCTGCCTAATAGGTAGCCCAGACATACCGTGCGATTTAAATCAGTTAAATGCTTGGTATACTTAATTACCCCCTGCGGTATCGATTTCAAGATAATAATGTTAACGATTAGCTCAAACATATTCTGAATTTTTACACTAAAATGTATCACTAATCAATACTTATCGTTGAAGAAAATATACTTAGGTACTCAGCAAAAATAAATAGTTTATACCTTCAGTAGAAGCACTTGAAATCCAGCTTTAAAATCGTGACATTCACGGCGACGCGGCGATTTTAAAGCTGGATTTCAAGTGCTTACACTAAAGGTATAAACTATTTATTTTTGCTGATGCATGCTATGTTCCTAAGTAATATATTTCCTTCAACGATAAGTATTGATTAGTGATACATTTTAGTGTAAAAATTCAGAATATTGTTGAGCTAATCGTTAACATTATTATTTTGAAATCGATACCGCAGGGGGTAATTAAGTATGCCAAGCATTTAAATTTAAATCGCACGGTATGTCTGGGCTACCTATGATATTCTTCTTGGGGAGACGCAATCCCTTAGCGGATAGTGTCCAGCTGGGGATCTCTCTGCAGGTGAGACAGTATATGCGCTGTGAGAGTTTGGGTATTGTCATAGCTCGAAGGTCGAAAGTCGAGGTCAAGGGTCGCAAGTCAAGAGTTGAAAATGGAAATTTATTTATTTCATTAATAATACATTAGAACACTATATTTTTCGAATTTGTTGTCAAAATTTTAAAGGTTTTCCTATATAACTAACTTTATGAATGTTAGTAAAGGACAATGTAAATCCATTCGAACAAATATTGTATTTTATTGTACTACCTGTAGCTGAATGAATCGTTGGAACCCCAGCACAGCAAAAAGCTCTCATTATGGTCGTGAGATAATTCTGAACCGAACTAAAATCATCCGTGCTTCGTGCAAGTAATTTTCGACCGTACAACTCAAGTCTCCATTTATTATACACCACAAGGTTCTCGCAACTATACAGCCTAGACCTAGGCCTTCTAGTCTTATTTATATTTTTTTATAAATATTCAGCGCTTTTTCTCATGAAAAGACTGGGACTAGGTGATTTGGGGGCGGGGCGGAGGAAGCAAGCCTAGAAGGCCTAGTGGACTTCCCAACAACAAGGCCAAAACTGCCCTGAAACTGCCCTGGTTGCGAAATGCCCAATTATTGCATTCTCGAACAGAATTATTTGCAACTTAACGGCGATTTTAAACCGATACAGGTAAAATAAACTCATTTATAGTATAAACTTACTATTTTTATTTGTATACACATCTAGAAAATCCGGTTTTTTATCATAAAGTTCGAAGCAACACTATTATTTAATATGTTGACAAGGTGTAGCGAAAGCACAAAATGAGTCAAAATATATACCAAAAGTAGAATCTTTCATGAAATTTTGTTTTATACACAACTACATTAATATATATTTTCTCAATTTTGGCGAGAAGCAGTCTTGTGTTTGTAAAATATACAAAATAAAACGGATACATATATTACCCAGCGGCAAAATGACGTTTATCCAACGTTGAATCAACGTTGGAAATGACCTTCCAGACGTTGGATAGACGTTGAAAAAGGGTTGACTATGCAAATTGATCGACGTTACTGTTTCAACGTTGAAACAACGTGGAAATTAGGTTGCCAATCTCGTCAACCATAATTCAACGTTGAATCCACGTTAAAACAACGTTGAGATTGGTTCACAAATCGACGTCGTACATAGTTTAACCATGAATGAACGTTAATTCAACGTCTGTTGGCTGCTGTTGAACCAATGTTTGTAAAACAACGTCAGAGAAACGTAGATATTAGGTTGTCGACGTCGCAACCTTTTTCCTACCACATTTCAACGTTGAAACAACGTCGTGTGCCTGGTGGGTATTAGCCCGTACAGTACTGTATATAAAAACGTACATTGTTTACAAATGGTATATCCGTAAAATTTTTGAACAATAATTTCAAAATCCCCATTCCCAATTCGCAAATATAGTTATTCAAAGCAAAACAGTAGATTGTCTTGCGAATAAAAGAATTATTATTTTGTGCCGTTTCGCTACACCTTGTCAACATATATAAATAGTGGTGCTTCAAACTTTATGATAAAAAACCCGATTTTCTAGACGGGTATACAAATAAAAATAGTAAGTATACTATAAATGAGTTTGCTTTACCTGTATCAGTTTAAATTCGCTGTTAAGTTGCAAATAATTCTGTTTGAGAACGCAACAATTGGGCATTTCGCAATCAGGGCAGTTTCAGGGCAGTTTTGGCCTTGTTGTTGGGAAATCCACTAGGCCTTCTATTTTTTCGCTTGCGTCAGGCTTGTGTCCTTCCTCCGCCCCGCCCCCAAATCACCTAGTCGCAGTCTTTTCATGTGAAAAAGCGCTGAATATTAAAAAATATATAAATAAAAATAGAAGGCCTAGGTCTAGGCTGGCAACTATACTATGAATATGAAACTGTCAATCGAAAATGTGCGCTTCCGGTGCAGACATGTGAACACGTGCTGTTAATAGTTCTATGTATTTTATAATAATAATAATAATAATAATAATAAACATTTATATAGCGCACAAACCAAGACTGTTCTAGGCGCTTTACAGTAATACAAAATCCAATCTTAAAACTAGTGTTAAGAATGTTAAAACTATAGAATACATCATACACTATTTAAAAACAAGTTAAAAAGATATGTTTTAAGAAACTTCTTAAAAATGGTTAATGATTCACACATCCGAAGATGAAAAGGTAAATCATTCCACAATCTTGGTCCAGCAACACAGAACGATCTGTCTCCGTATGTCTTTAGTCTAGAATAAGGAATCTGGAGCAATTCATTTCCATTTGATCGAAGAGTACGCTGCGAAGTACGACACAGCATAAGTTCCTTCAGATACGATGGAGCAAGATCATTAACAGCTTTGTAGACAAGAAGTATAATCTTGAATTGAATACGGTATTGGACAGGTAACCAATGCAATTCGATAAGAACTGGGTGATATGCGCCGATTTCTTAGTATCAGTTAGTAAACGAGCTGCAGTATTTTGGACTCTCTGAAGCTTCTGAAGCAAATATTTGGGTACACCATACAACAGGGAGTTACAATAATCCAATCTTGAAGTTATAAATGCATGAATAATTATTTCTAAGCAATTTCGAGGTAGATACTTCTTAATTCTTGAAATATTCCTAATATGGTAATAAGCTGACTTGCAGGTACCATTAATATGTTCGCCCAATCTGATCCACTCATCAAAAATCACCCCCAGATTTCTTGCTGAAACAGTTGGCACAATTTTTTCCTTTCCCACCATGATATAATTTAAGGGAGGCATCAGATGATAGCGTGAATGGACTAATATAAGCTCCGTTTTGCCACTATTTAGTTTCAATTTATTCAACATCAACCAGTTTCCCAATTCAAGTATACATTTATCCATACGGATCTTAGATGATATTAAATCATCACGATCATTCGTTTTGAATGCAATGTAAAGTTGCCCATCATCAGAAAAAAAGTGAAAGCGCAGATTGTGGCGCCTAGCCACATCCGCGAGAGGGGCAGTATAGAGTGAATACAACAGAGGACCCAACACAGATCCCTGAGGTACACCACAATCAAGATCACTCAATAACGAATCAGTTCCCTCAACACGAATAAACAGTTTCCTGGATGTAAGGTATGAGGTAAGCCAATCCAACACACGACCCCTTATGCCAAAGCGTTTCAATAGTCTTGTTAATAACATTAAGGGGACTCTCTACCCTAATTTTGGGAAAAATGGACGATTGTGAAACAGGAGGCAATTTTAAGAAAAAACATCTAATTATGCATCCAAATGAGAATGTTTCTTGAATATTGGTACTTAGACATTACAAAAATAGTATTTAATTAACTTCAGATAGCATCATGGGGGGTCTACCTTTACCGAGAAGGCGAGTAATTGGAATATTACAGTAAATCTTTAAAATGCTAAAACTTTGAGGCAATTCAAGGTACAGCCCTGAAACTTTGAACACTTGTGCAACACACAGGTATGAACAAATTAATGATTCATTTTTTTGATTGGACAACTGGTGTTGCCATAGTAACAGTTAAGGCATCCTTAAATCTCTTTTTCAATTCTTTTGGTCAGAATTGGCTGTATCAACAAAATCTCTCATTAATTTTTTAAGTACATAGATGAGAGTAAACTGTGAAAATTTCAGCCAAATCTGTTAAAAACTCTTTGAGTTTTAGCATTTTAAAGGTAAAAATATGCGGCAATTTTGTTTTGCGGCAAATCCAAGGTAAAGTTGGACTAACATGTCTTCGGATTGTTTTCAGCTTTACTAACATCCTAGCAGACAAATGTTAACAGAAAACAACATAACAATCCATTCTTACTCCTCATAATGTTCCACCTACTCATTGTTTTTGTCTTTTTGGTCTTTTAGCTAGTTTTAGTCCCGGCAACGCCCTTCATTAAACGCATCACTGCTATAGGATGGGCCACCTTCTTCGTCACATGTTTCCAGTTCTCTAACAAGCTTTGCTTGTCTTCTTCTTCTTTTCAAAGTTCTTTTCTTTTCTTTTTTCTACCAAGCTTGCTTTCCTTTTTGAAGAGGCTATTCTCTTCTTGTCCATACTGGCTCCTGCTTCTTCAGTAAACCTGCCAGACGGGATATTTGCCACCTTCATCACCTCGTGCCGCGCCTTCGAACCGCTGTCAAATTGGAGTACAGCAGACAAAGCAGCCATTTTGATTGCCTTTGGGCTCTTATACTTGTGCTTTAGTGCTTTAGACCAGACTATTCCATTCAGGCTTTCATTCTGGTTTGGGGAATAGCTTATCATACCATACCTTGTATTCATCCGAATCATTATCTGCCTTCTGTTTGTTACACAAAGTACAAATCTTTGACCGAAAACCATAATCAAGAACTTGGCCTGTCTCTACAGGTATAATAAATCCATAGGAAGCTGTATGTCCCCTCTTTGACCAAGTACCATTATACATTTATGTCCTTCTTGAAATGCTTGGTGAACATTTGACAAATTGAAGAACAGATAGCCAGAGTCTTCACTAAAATATGGCTTTGATGGGTCCCCCAGTGTATCAATTTCTTCGTCACCGTCCATACTCCATAGTGGCATTTGTACCCTCTCATACGTCTACAGATGATACAATTTTCTTCTCGCTTGCTGTAAGTGGCCGGTTTTCTTCTGTCTCGCAAGTGTTAGTAACATGTGGTTCTGAAATCTCATGTCCAGAAATGGCCGACTGGTTAATAACGGCTCAACGCGATATTCATCCACTAACTTTGCCTTTTACCATGAAGGAATGCCACGAAATTTGTCTTTAGCCTTTCGTCTAGGCATTATTTATATAAACTTGGAAAAATAGGCTGTGTTGTTAACGTAAATTCGGGTGAAATACTTTCAAAAAGTCAACAATACTGCATGAGAAAATCTTCCAAAACAATATGGCGACGTGTGACAAATTTTATACCATTTCCCAACCCCCCCCCATAGAGATTATAAATAACACTAGAGGAGGCATTGTAATCTTAATTCAGTAAAAAAAAGGGAACGCGACTATTGGGGGGCAAATTCAAGTCCCGGATGTGTATTCGTGTTCCCATTGGTGACGAGTTTCAAATCAGCCAATGAGAACACGATTTTATATCCGGGACTTGAATTTGCCCCCCATTAGCTGCGTTCCCAATTTTTAACTCGATGCCTCCTCTAGTGTTATTTATAATCTCTATGCCCCCCCTGACAAGCACTTGTTCCCAGGACATTTAGAAACATATTTTGAACACGGTCAAGTTAAAACTTATGCATATTTATGGTTATTTACCAGTTTTAAAGGCCGATTTTGAAGCAAAATTTTACCCGTTACCATGGATACGGATTAAGAAAATATCAATTTATACATTGTTATTCACAAAAAGTCAAATATCTCGGGAACTAAGCGGAATTTTAGCATTCTGTAAAAAGTTTATGAACAAGGAATATTTTATCTACAATAGAAATGCAATTTTCAATTTTGACCCGTATGGTCAAAAATTAGGGTAGAGAGTCCCCTTAAATGATCCACGGTGTCAAAAGCCGCCGACAGATCCAATAGGACAAGAATAACAGAATCACCGTTATCTAGAGCTTGAAGGATATCATTTTGAACCCTCAATAGCGCTGTTTCAGTACTATGACAAGGTTTATAAGCAGACTGGAATTTCTCATGTAGATGATTTTCAGTAAGATAATCAGTTAATTGTACAGCAACTGCTTTCTCAATAAATTTCGAGACAAATTTCAGATTTGATATTGGACGAAAACTGCAGAATTCTTCATAGGAAAGATTGTACTTTTTTAAAAGCGGTTGAACAACAGCAATCTTCAAAGAGTCAGGCATTGTACCACTTTCCAAGGAGAGGTTGATTATTCTAGCTACAACGGGTAAGATGTCTTTAAAACAGTGATTTAGCATGACCACCGGGAGTGGATCCAGAGAACAGGATTTAGTTGCGATACGTTGGATTAAATGGAGCACTTCGTCTTTTCCAACCTCCCTGAAGGTGTGAAATTCATAAGGACATGAATCAGCATCAGGTATAGGATTTTCTATGTTTTTACTCAAGAGTTCATTTTCGATATCACCTCGTATTTTAACAATTTTCTGAGTGAAGAAATCACTAAATGAGTTGGCAAGTGACATTGGGTCAGGAGAAGATGGATAGCGAATAATCGTATTTGTATGCAGCAAATTGCTTACAGTCTTGAAAAGGGTTTTTTGATCAGATGATCCATTATTAATTAAGTCGGTAGAGTAAGCCGATTTTGAGGAGTCGATAAGTTTATTTACAGCATAACATTGTTGTTTATAGCGATTCCAATCAGCATTCGTCCTTGTTTTATGCCATTTTCTCTCAAGTTGTCTCCAAATTCGTTTCTTATCATTGATTTCGTTAGTATACCAGGGTGCCTTAGGGCGCAATGTAATTTCCCGGGATTTAATCGGTGCATGGTTATCTAAGATAGTATGAAGACAATCATACTCATTCACCAATGATACCAAATCCATAGTCGTAAAATTCTTAAGAAGAAAAGAATTTAGTACATCCGTTTTGAATTTATGAATATTAACCGCCCGCAAATTACGAAGAAGCAAATGTTTCTTCACAAACTTCGGTTTCCTAATCAATAGTTGTAAATGCACAACTGAATGATCAGAAATCAGAGGATCGAAGATGTTGTAATGGTTAACAATGTTTTCTTCAGATCGCGTTATAATTAAATCCAGTGTGTGACCGCTTGCATGTGTTGATCCAGAAATGTACTGCTTCAAATCAAAGGAAGCGAGAAGATCGACGAACCGTTTGGTAAGAGGGTCATTAGGATTGTCCAGATGAAAATTGAAATCTCCAGCTATCAAGAGTTGCCCGGGTGATACAATAATTCCTTCCAAAAAGGATGAGAACTCTTCAAAGAATAGAGTAGATGTCAATGAGTTAGCCGATGAAGGAGGCGGCCGATATACAACAATAATTCTAATATGTAGAAAGTTCAAAAAAGAACTGTCAAGGTATTCAAATGACCTAAATACCTCCTGTACATTACGCTTAATATTAAGACTTTCCTTGAATAAGAGACCAACGCCCCCACCGATTGATCCATGTCTCGGTGTATGCAGAAAACTATAACCTGTTGGGCATAGATCCCCAATAATCAAATCCCCAATAATCAAACCTGACTCCGGTACGCACGTCTATGTTTATTTACTTTCTCTGGGTTCACTGGCAGTGGGCGGTGAGTGATACGTACTGGAATGCTTCGAAATTGTTGACCACGATCATGTAAATAACTAGAGCAAGATTGCCTACCAGGAACATTATAATGACAGCTTTGTTCTTTTTGAATAGGATTTGTACGGCTTCCCGTATGGGAAAGCTCGCCTATTTTCGACTGTTCACTATTGTTCCTAACAGGGAAAACTACCTTTGTAGGGTTAATTCCTCTTGTGAGTGATTGATGGATTTTGGCAATGGCACCAAATCATGGTGTGACGTTTTCTCGCATGACTGATCTATAGCCATAAAAGTTTCTGTGTTATCCGGTACTTTTATTGGTGTGAAGCATGCATCGTTAGCGGTCCGAACAACAACGGGATTAATGTGAGGATTTGAATTACTAACCTCTTTTGTTTTGTTCGTGCCGCTGCTGCTAATGGGTGTAGAGGTTGTCAACATATTTTCGAGATTTGCATGATTTTTCGGCTCTTTTGGTCGGCAATCGTTCATGCGTAATATTTGGTTTTCCACGGCTTGGATTTTATGGTTGAGTTTCGATTCCAAAACAACCAAATCTAATTTCAAACCCTCCAAGTCTGGTGATAGCTTCGAACATTCACAACCCGTACATGCACTGGTGTTTTGTTGGTTGGTTTTCGTTTAAGGAGTTCTCGGTGTTAGTAGCCATGTCCACACCAGACTTGATACTATCGAGGTTTAAACTCGTAAACATAGCGTTGATCATACAACGTTTGATTCGATTTGCATCCTCTCCATTGATCTTTAGGAACTTTTTATTTTTCCACCAAAGCAACTCAACGTTGTCTGACACGAAAAGTTTTTTCTCGTTCGCCGGGGATGACCAGCTTCCCTGCAACTCTAGGTCACTCTTTACAAACTCCTTCAAACGATCAAAGTCGCCAGCCCAGGATAGTCTTAAATTCGCTGACATATCGAGTCGAGACTATTCGCAATCTGAAATAACTACAATATCATAAATACTCACATACAGTTCTACTGTTCTGTTCTCCAGCAATTTAAGGCTCCAACCCGCCGGAACACAACTCACAAGAACTCTAGCAGTTAAATATGCAGTGAGATATCAAATACTTGTGATTTGTATAACATTCCTTTAAGTTAGAGTAACGGAGCACAAAATACACGTCCGTCTTAACACCAATTCCACACAAAATTGTTAAATAATTATTGACATCGTTTCTCACACACCCAAAGGTTTTAAGCCTTTAAAGTTCCAAAACCATACGCGGTATGAGGAGTATCGTTAACTAATGAAGTTCTGAGCAATTTCAGAACTCTGTCACCGCCAACAGATAACATATTACTTATAATGTTTGTGACGACTCTGAGTGTGTACCCACACCGGGCAAGCTTGAAAAATATGTCTGACCACGGTGGCCTGGTATATTTTTCAAGCTTGCCCGGTGTGGGTACACGCTCAGATGAACGTCACAAACATTATATTCACTTGAGTACATAACACCAACACGGGCAAAAATCATATTATTTATAATCAAATTTCTCATGAGAGCAAAACGCCATTTATACTTTCAAACATCGCATCAGACGAAACTTTCAGTTATGCATAGCCATAGGTGAAATTTTTCAGTTTTGACAGCAAAACTAATTGTTTTGCCGCGTTTAATGGAGCTTTCAAAGCGGTTGTGAAACTTTTAAAATAGATAAAAATTTAGTATTTTCGACTTTCGACCCTTGACTCTCGACCTCGACTTTTGCAGACCCGCGACCTGTGACCCTCGACAATTACCCAAACTCATGCTGTGACATCAGCAATGGACGGAACACTGTTTGATGGTTAATTTTGGAATGTATTAATTTATTAAAATAAAATAAATTTCCACTTTGTATCCCGGGGCGTGGGTACTAATTCCACTTGGCTATGTACACCCGGGGAACAATCTCGTTCATAGCTCTGGAGAAATAGTATTTGTATTATACTGTCGTCTGTTGGGAGTGTATCTAAAAGTCGAGGGTCGAGAGTCGAGAGTAAAGGTCGAGAGTCGAGAGTAAAAGTCGAGAGTCGAGAGTAAATGTCGAGAGTCGAGAGTAAAGGTCGAGAGTCGAGAGTAAAAAGTCGAGAGTCGAGAGTAAAAAGTCGAGAGTCGACAGCAAAAAGTCGAGAGTCGACAGCAAAAGTCGAGAGTCAACAAAAATGTCATCAGAAACAACAAAGTCAAAATATTTTTAACACAATATATAGCCGTACGTTCCGTAACAACGGCTGAACTACAAACTTTCGCATATAAATATAGCTACAATAACAGTCAATAATATAAAAACATGAACAAAAAACTGCATGATACGAAACTAATCAGTATCATATGTGATGCTTTCATCTTGCTAAAAGTCATTTCATTAAATTTTGCTGCCTTTCAATGACAATGTAGCACATAAACAGAATTTTGACAGACAGTCGCAGATAAAACATTGTCTATTCTCATGACATTGTCTATTCTCATGACAAAGTTCAACGTTTTTACCGAGAAACTTCAATGTTTGTGATATTAATCATTTGATGGTTTCAATGCCGGATGATTCCAGCTATAGACTAATTTTGATCTAGGCAAGAAGAACAAAATCCATATTTGGGCCGAAAGTGGTGCATTTTCCCGCGCGTGATAGAAATTACAGTCAATTTCAGCTGACTTTTCATCGTAAGATTCCGAACTTCGTTCCGAACTTCGCAAATTCGTTGCCAAGTTCAAAAGTTCATAATGAAATTCACAAACATTTGATTGGCTGGTTTGATTTAATAGCCAATCAGAGGCTTTGTTTACAAACCTGTTTGTGAATGTCATTATGAACTTTTGAACTTGGCAACGAATTTGCGAAGTTCGGAACGAAGTTCGGAATCTTACGATGAAAAGTCAGCTGAAATTGACTGTAATACAAAATTTGCAAATTCCGAAGGTGATATTTTCCGCATTTTACAACATTTTTCGCGGGCAAACTTTGCAATTTTACTAATTTTAGCATGCTCTTTCTAGCTGTGGTGATGGATTTTGTCCTCATGTCTTGCCTAGATCAAAATTAGTCTATAGCTGGAATCATCCGGCATTGAAACCATCAAATGATTAATATCACAAACATTGAAGTTTCTCGGTAAAAACGTTGAACTTTGTCATGAGAATAGACAATATTTTATCTGCGACTGTCTGTCAAAATTCCGTTTATGTGCTACATTGTCATTGAAAGGCAGCAAAATGTAATGAAATGACTTTTAGCAAGATGAAAGCTTCACATATGATACTGATTAGTTTCGTATCATGCAGTTTTTTGTTCATGTTTTTATATTATTGACTGTTATTGTAGCTATATTTATATGCGAAAGTTTGTAGTTCAGCCGTTGTTACGGAACGTACGGCTATATATTGTGTTAAAAATATTTTGACTTTGTTGTTTCTGATGACATTTTTGTTGACTCTCGACTTTTGCTGTCGACTCTCGACTTTTTGCTGTCGACTCTCGACTTTTTACTCTCGACTCTCGACTTTTTACTCTCGACTCTCGACTTTTACTCTCGACTCTCGACATTTACTCTCGACTCTCGACTTTTACTCTCGACTCTCGACCTTTACTCTCGACTCTCGACACTCGACTTTTAGATACACTCGTCTGTTGGTATTCATAATACATATAATCTCCTCAAGAACGAGATAATGTTTGCTGTGATTGTAAAGTGTGGACTTGTAATTGGTTTCTTTAAAACTGGACTAAAGGATTAAAATTCCTTGACACTGGATTATTGACATTACTTTCATGCATGTAGGCTATATTTGTGCTTTAGATTTATACTCTCCTGTCAGATTTTATGGTATATACTATATTGAAATTTTCTAACTACTTTATAAAATTATAGTGGGCTAGAGGCCTTCTAAAAATCTGTACAAGCTTTTATTATTAATTTAACTCACTAATTTTACAATGTGTTATCAATTATTAAGCCAAATGACGCTTATAACGTTTGTGAATCAGAATGTACGATTCTGCAGTGAGGTGGCCCTGATTTGGGAAGCGTCTAACTGACATGATTTTAAACGCATTGACATTTATAGGTACTTATTTTAGCATGTAGGTATTACTGCTTCCCGGCTGAAAAATCCTGTGTCCAACCCTGCCAATGTTAGTTGAACACTGGGCATAGCTAGGTTACCAGGCTAGGTGAGGTGGATAGTTGAAATTTTAAGATTGCAAGCTCCTTATAGAACTAATTACTTCAAATAACTGCGGTTCACTGGGAAATCTCCCAAGATCCAGATACGATACACTATATATATACCTCTGAAAACATGGGATAGATCATGTTGTTGCCATGCATGCATATATATATCAGTAGTTCCAGTGCATCACATCAAGGAAGGCTTAATTATATTTCCCAATCAAACTGTATGCCTTTAACCATATCTCCTCTATTATGTTCCAAGTAGCTTACATGTATCCGGCATGCTTGAGGCGGACTGTTTATTGGAAGAGAGGCCTGAGAGTGTGATTGATTTAGACAATCACAGGAACATCAAGTTTAATAATGGTAAACAGTTCAAGATAATTAACAAATCTATCCAACGCACATGTATTTTCTTGTGAAAAATACGGGCGATTGGAGAGAGAGTATGTTAAAAAGAGTAGACTAATGTTTAAATCTACAGTAAATTACTCTGTCTGTTCCCTAAAGGTCTTGTCACACTATTGCGTATGAGAGAAACGTGTGAGAAGCGTATGAAAATTAATGAAATAATTTTCATACGCACAAAAATCCTTTGAAATGCCAGCGTATGAGTATCGTACATCTGGCGTACCTCTAGCGTATTCAACGTGTGCCTAGAGTATGCTTATCGCAAAGCATATACGTCTGATATGTACAAAATTTTTGAACATGCTTCAAAAATTTTCTGCCTCACCGCGTATGCTAGCGTATGCCACCATACGCGACCGTACTTGAAACGAGTATACAATCTATGCCTGACGTACCCCTACCCTATGTCAGCGTATACCGGCGTATGAGTGATATTTTTCATACGCTGGCATACGCTAGTACGATACGCAGTAGTGTGACAGGGCCTTAAACCTACAAGGGTAAAGGCAAGTTAATTTAGTATAAATTGTTACTTTCCCAGCCATAACACTGAGATCAGCAATATAAGAATATAATATAAGTTATAATATAATGGAAGTTATAGAACATCAGCAGCAAACGTTAAAGTTTTACAAATTCTTTTTTAAACTGAATATCATGACAAAATTTTGGACTTAATGTTCGATACCTTTACTGTTTGTCTAATGTTTATGAGAAATCAGAAACATATTGCGCTCGTTTCTTCCGACGTAGAGAACGCGATTAATAGAATATAATTTTAAACTATAGTAATTACGCGGGAACAACTCAGTATTTCATATAATGCAAAAGAACTGTAACTCCAAATAACATTTTGATTTATTTAAATCGACGTTTCGACAAAATTGTAGTGATCATTATTATACCCTAATGATGACTGCAAATTGCAATTAGTCGAAACGTGCAGTTCAATCGGAGTTGTTGTTCTTTTATATTTTATTATACAAGTAATGTCATAAGAAAATGCAACATCATATGCTTTCGACTAAATAAACAACATTAAAAAACAGCATTTGTGTTTTTCTAATTATAATTTATATTGAGATAATTTAATTGACAGAAGATGGCAGCCATATGGAGGGTGTGGTTTCTCTTTTTTCAGTGCTTTACGACAAAAGGCCAATTTTTAGAAAGGGCGTCAAATACAGGCTGGGGCTTATAAAGGAAATGTGGCATACAAAACCCTCACCACGAAGTAAATCACCGAAGTTTGTTTGTAGTTTTGCATGGTGATAAATTAAAAGTCTCCTTCTTTGTGCGAAATTTAAACGTCTGAAATCAGCCGCCATGTTATTTTCATTTTGTTCCATAATGCATCATATGAGATTTTTATATAGCTAAGTCCACTACCATATACTCATAAAATACACTAAATGCGAATACTGTGGTCTCAAATTCGATGACGTATTATTGATCATTCATGCATGTCTAATATCATGCACTAATATCACATTGAAGATTATCAACTACAGTATGCCCACAAGGGCTTCGGCCAGGGTACGGCCTGGGCGGGGGGATTGATTTTTACAAAAGCGCAGTGTGGCGTGGCGTACAGTACACGCGTTCACCTTTGGAAACGTTATCCTTGACGACGTTCCAGTATACACAGGAAAATATGAAACATTTTCTTACTGTGAACATTTCACAGACATTTTATAGAAATACCTAAAACATGTTTGGAAATTCAATTTCCAAGTTTTGCACACTTCTATAATATGGATATATTTTCAGGACGAAACGTGAAAATTTTCTAGAAAACGAAGTATCGAAATGGTTTGTATATTCCAGTGATAACCCCTTGCATGAGATGGTCTCTATATATTTGTTTTGTATGATATATTGAACACGATTTTTTCTGCATGTGCTGGTCAGTAATATACTCAGGTGAATATGCCGGATGCTTGTGATGTTACTCCGAGAGTATATCCACACTGGGCAAGCTTGAAAAATATGCCTGTCCACGGTGGGAATCGAACCTACTGTACGACCTTTGGAATACTAGCACAATGCTCCGCCAACTGAGCTACTGTACACGGTCAGGTCGGTTCGAGATGTGATACATTACACCAGCACTGAAAAAATCATAATTACTAGATTACATCGATATTGAAGGAACTAGATTCCGTTACGAAATATCACATACTCGAACCGACTTGACCGCGTAGCTCAGTTCGCAGAGCATTGGGCTAGTATTCCAAAGGTCGTACGTTTGATTCCTACCGTGAACAGGCATATTTTTCAAGCTTGCTCGGTGTGGATATACACTCAGAGTAACATAACAAACATCATATTCACCTGAGTACATTACACCAGCACAGAATAAAATCATGATTACTAGTCGATTATATTGATATCGAAGGAAGTAGAATCTGTTCCGAAATATCACATACTCGAACCGACCTGACCTCGTAGCTCAGTTGGCAGAGCATTGGCCTAGTATTCCAAAGGTCGTAGGTTTGATTCCTACCGTGAACAGGCATATTTTTCAAGCTTGCTCTTTGTGGATATACATGCACTCAGAGTAACATAACAAGCATCATATTCACCTGAGTACATTACACCAGCACAGAAAAAATTCATGATTACTAGTCGATTACATTGATATCGAAGGAAGTAGAATCTGTTCCGAAATATCACATACTCGAACCGACCTGACCGCGTAGCTCAGTTGGCAGAGCATTGGGCTAGTATTCCAAAGGTCGTAGGTTTGATTTCTACCGTGAACAGGCATATTTTTCAAGCTTGCTCGGTGTGGATATACACTCAGAGTAACATAACAAGCATCATATTCACCTGAGTACATTACACCAGCACAGAAAAATATCATGATTACTAGATTACATTGATATCGAAGGAACTAGAATCTGTTCCGAAATATCACATACTCGAACCGACCTGACCGCGTAGCGCAGTTGGCAGAGCATTGGGCTAGTATTCCAAAGGTCGTAGGTTCGATTCCCACAGTGGACAGGCATATATATTTTCAAGCTTGCTCGGTGTGGATATACACTCAGAGAAACATCACAAGCATCATATTGAACACTCTTCCACATTCCGTGAACTAAAACACACTTAAATAAAAAAAAAAGATACCTGTGAAAGTTGGCTAACGCCGCCAAAGATATTCTTGTTTTCGGATTTCATGGTGCATGGAAGAATGGAGACCATCATTTGTTTAAAATTAGAGTTTGTACTACTGCTTGTTGAGCTTCCTCGGGACATATTTTCTGCCACGTAAGCATTCCATGCTTTTACCAACATTGGAACTACGTCACCATATTCCCCGGATGAAACTTCGATAACTATGAAGTAAAATGTTCTCAACTCTCAGCAAGTTAATTAGCGCTTCTGGTACTTTGCAATTGGTACATGAACATGCCAAATACTATGTATAACACGGGAAAAGGAATTCATTATAGCTATATGCATATAAGGGGCCGACAATTTAACTTTTGAGGGGGAGGGGTTGGTGATTTACTATTGGCAGGGAATTTTTTTTCTGGGATCGTTATATGCAAGATATTTTTTCCTACCATCACCATGTACGATTTCTTTTTGCCACTCTCTCTTTTGCAGCATTTTTTTTCAATAGCTAATACCATTTAGATTCTTTAATTATAGTAAAGACATGGTAGCCTCGAGTCTTTTGTTTCAACAGGGACGTTTAATGGCGTATATCCCTCACTGCCCATGCATACACTTTTGTCTTCCAAATTTCCACGGGAAATTTAGTTGAAAACAAAAGATTTCTTTGCCTTCTAATTTTCCCCTGCATGTTTGATGAGGGAAATTTAGAAGACAAAGGCAGGTCAAAAGTGGAGTTCCCCAAGGTTCAGTTCTATACACCCTTTTCATAAATGGCTGCAGATTAAAAATTCTTTTATGTGCATATAAATTGGCCCAACTAGCCTCGTTTCTGGGTAGAAATTCCTTTGAAATCTTAACATGAGTACGAGGTTAGTTGGGCCAATTTATATGCACATAAAAGAATTTTTAATCGGCAGCCATTTATGAAAAGGGTGTATAGCTGAAAATAATCAGGAGCATCATTTACATACACCGAAAAAGTAGGGGGGGGGGCGGCTAAGATGGAGCACCACATATAATAATCCTGTCAAACTTCGCAGTATAGAGGCCAGTTGTAAAACCTTTTTAAATTCCTTATTATAATTGGGTCAGAAACGGGAGGACGATAAAATACAATAACAAGAAACTTTTTCTTAGTGTCAGGACGGGCTCATACGCAAACATTTCCGAGTTGCTTTCGATGTCTGTTCTACGGAAACTTCGCATAGTATTTCTAACTGACACTGACATTACTCCGCCACCAACTTCTGTAGAACGTCGGGTTTAAGACCACAATCAAATCCGTGTCCACAGCAAGTGTTTGAAATTCTTTAATCTTGTTGACTATACTTCTAGCGTTTAGGTATCAACATTTGATACTAGCTATGATCGTTGGGTCCGGCGTTTGGGGAATACCAACCAAGCGAATTTTCTCCAAAGAAAAGCAGGCTGAATGGTTGTTATACAAGCGAACCCGTTGCTTGAAGAAGCCATTACTCTGAATAGTTTCATGTAGTTTTCTGGAATTAACCCATTCAGCACAATTAATACACAACATTCGCACTGAGATCGGATTATCCAAGAGTAGAAAAGCTGTTACTAGCTAACTAACAAGCTATCAAAGTTTCATGAAGAAATTTGGTGGACGTGTAGGCCAACGCGAAATCTTCAAAACCTGGATTTTCTCTCATTTTGTTAGTTCAAACGCGAAACATTGTGTGTTACAATAACGAAGACTAAGCAGACGTATTGTTCCGAAATTTAAATTATATATAGTCACAGTTCGGTTGTTAAATATATTTCAATTAACTATTTAAGTTAAATCATCCCTAGCCGAGTCCTAACACCAGTTGACTTGAACCTCTATTACGATGAAATGAGGAAAGAGTGGCATTTGGCTTTCGAAGTGCATCGTATATTTTGGGATAGTATTCTTACTTCTCACATACTTTATTGTCTTTGTGCCGTGATTCGTGCTGGCAATACGAGTTAAGTACTCACGTTTCGGGAACCACTGAGTATTTTAACAAAATATAAAAATAAAATGCCTGAATCTTAGTCGAAATTAAGCTAGAATATTAAAATATTTATTTTCGGAGTTACCGTTGTTTTATACTCATGTTTCAGTTTTGAGCATCCTAAAGACCATTTGACCTGAACCACGACTGCGATAGCCTAAAATGAAGTGGAAATGGCAGAAACAATGCAGAAACAACGGTTCCTTACGATCAACATGTAGGCGTTTATACGTCAATTTAATACTATCATCATGCTTATTACGGTCAAGCAGAAATCTCCGAAATAGAGTTACTTCCATAAAGGAAAAATAAAACATACGAAATATACAGTTATTTACATATCAGCGAAGAACCAAAGAATGGAACAATGGGGATTTTTATACCTCAAAATATGTTATACCTCAAATTCAATTGTGATTTTTGACGGTATTTCACTCAACTTCATGCGGATTTCGTAATGCAGCGATCTACCGTGGGATAGTTATGCTATATTATACATCAAATTCAAATTGTCCAATCAGGAAGCTTAGTTTGTGCCACGTGAGCATGAAATTAATCGCGATATCACGCCTTACGTCATCAATTAGCGAGCCTGCGCTCCTTTTGAACATTATTCGCGTAGACCACTCGGGACAACACGCATGACAACAAGATGGCCGACAAAACATAAATAGTATTAATGAGTGATGAATAATTCAATTTTAAACCTAAAACCTGGGGCTTTTTCAAACCTAAAACCCGGGGCTTTGTCATTAATATTCCAAACAATATGTGATTCGAAAGAAAAGCGACGATACTTGCGCTAATCCGAAAATAAAACATCGTATTCACGAAGGTATGTGTCAAGTTTTTAATTCTCAACTTGGAGGCTTTTAATTTTCGGTATAATATATCATTTATAGACCCTCCGCTCGGGGGATTCGGCGAAATATTACCCTCAGTGATGATATTTCCCTCGGGGTTATCATCACTTCGGGTAATATTTCGCCGAATCCCTTTCGCTCCAGGTCTATAAATGATAAATGTTACACTCACGCGTGGACACCACGCGCTGATACAATATGGCGTTCGGGAGCTGTTGTAAGTTTGTAATTTCGCTTTTTTCGTATAAAAGATTTATTGATTTAACTGAAGATTTTCAAGGGGTATGTTACCTTCAATGATCCAAAGGATACAGCCTCAAGTATTTTAAAGGGAAAACGTCAAAAACTCAAGAAATTAAACATTGTATTCGTTATTCAGCAAGTTTTTGCGTCATAAACATGTTCTAACATATAGGAATATATAGGTTTGTGTTTATCGAAAATGGTTTTGTTTAATCACGTGATGATCTTTCCAGGTAGTATTTTGCAGAAATTATGGGAATACATTACTGCAGCGCGTGATGTCCAACTATTTCAACCTCGTACCCAGGGTTCTCTTTCTGTGGCCGAGGGCTGAAGAGAACCCTGGCAAAGGCTGCAGAGCATTACGTAATAAGTTATTTTTTCCCCGGGGGGTTATCAATTAGCAAGAACAGCCTGGTCGCAGGCTACTGTTCCGTTTCTGTTATTCATTGAATCGCTCATTCTATTTGATCGATGTGGCATCATTTATGGCACAGAATTTAGACATGATTTATGGCATGAAATGGCTCAATTGTATAAGATATTTATGCAGATGCTCGTAAACAATGTTGTTATGAAATGTGGTTGAATGATGAAAGGATAATATCTCAAATTTTGTATGTTCAAGAATTGTTAGAAAACTGGAAAGGGTGAGTATTTACAATTATTGTTAATACCTGTTCCACATTTAATACGCTGTTCCGAGCTTTAAAAAACTCAGCTGCTTGTACTTCTGATCTTTTATTCAACTTTTGAATCATTCTTATGTATATTGACAATTGCATGAAAATGTATATGTGAGATCACAGTTGAAATACAAACAATTCACCTCCGAATACATATATTTTATAAAGATTACTTTGAAATATTGCCTTATTTTAGTAACACTGGCACCATATATAAATATAGTCTATACACAAATGAAAAATATAAATTATAAGGAGTCGTCTGAATGGTTAATTTTATGGAAATCAAAACTCACATATTGTCCTAATATTTAATTATAACATAATTCACTTTGAATTACTGTACATGTCATATTTATATATCATAATATACTGAAATCAACTATTTACAATTGCTTTCACTATTAGGCCTCATCAATGAGTGAGACTATAAACAACTGCAGTTACAATATTTTACAATGTATACAATCAACCAGAATGTTACAGTTATACAATTCTAACTGTTCACAATAACATTGTATTTCTCTCTTTTTCAGTAATCATGTCATTCTTACTCATTTCATGACTCATGTGGCATGTTTGTATTGCATGAGCAAACATTTATAACACTGATACAAGTGTGTCCATGTGGGAAAACTATCTTGTTTTGCTGGGTTCAATTCCTAGTGCACACTGAATGTATAATGCTACAATTTTTACAGACGATTATTTAAAGTTTTAGTGATATTATATTATACGTCATTAAATCTGTTAATTTACTGCAGCTGGTACTGCACTGCTACACTGTGTTTAGTACATGTAGTATTATCGTAAACAGTCATACAAGACTTACTTTTAATATTTTACACATATTTATAATTTGGATGCAATTAACCTATTAAGTGCCAGTGCTCTCCATTTGACGAATAAACTTGTTTGGCATCACACAGAGTAAAATAATAAAGTATAGCTCATCGGTGGGTTAACTAGACACATAGCTCTCTCCTCTTCCAAGGATTCTATTGGCTATGATTACGATTAGTTTTGAGATACATTTCACTGCACTTTATACCTGTATGAGTGAATGAGTGCAGTTAACCTATTACAGTAGATGCCAGCACTCTCGTTGATAAGTAAAATCATCTGGCATTAGAGTAAAGTAGTATGTCAATATAATTAGTAGGGCACATTAAGGGCACAATGGAACTCAATGGGTTAAGCATTACAAACATCACTGATAATTTTAAAAAATGCTTGTGCATGTGTGATGTCCCACATTTCAAATTCAGCAAACAATTCTTCAGCTGAATTGATCTTGTCACATTTTGAAACAATTAAGTCTATAAGTTCTATTGTTAACCCAGTACTGATGTCAATTCCTCCAAAGTTTGCACCAGATTTGCCAGCTTCAATTCTGTATTTCTTCAGTAATGCCTGTATACGTACTCGCTGCTCATCTGTAACAAGGCGAACAGGCTGGGGCTCAGGTTCTTCGCATAGTTTTCTATCAGTTTGGATTTGTAACTCCTTATTTGTTGCACAAGTTAAGCATTTGCAAACCTTAAAGCAGTTACTGCAACAAATGTGCCTTTCGTATTTCAATTTGATTTCACTTCCACATGATGCAGATCCCAGAAAAACCAGAAGTTCCTTTCTCAAACAATTGGTTTCTTGTAAGCAGAAATTTCGCATTTCAGTTGTCATCCCTGGTTTGTTAGTGGAAATATCTTGGCCATTGAAGAAAAGAGAGGCTCTTGCTGGTTTATTATCTCGTCCAGTTCTGCCAATTTCTTGGTAATAAGATTCCATAGTCCTTGGCACTCCAATATGTATGACATGTCTGACGTTAGGAATGTTAACACCGATTCCAATAGCAATTGTCGCAAACAAGACACGAATAGTTCGATCTTCATCGTTTCCCATTAGCTGTTTCATAATCTCTTTCTTCATGCTGTCAGTCTGTGGTGAGTGATATTGCGCAAACAAACAATTCTCCGGGCTTTTTTCCGTTTTCTCAGATGATAGAAAATAGCTTGCCTCCCCAAGTTCGTCCATGAACAGTTTAAATGCGTATCCACACCACCTTAATGGGAGGTATATTAGAGTGAGAGGGTATGCTGTTAGGCTTTTTTTCAATTCTTTCGCAATTGGAAGAAGTATTGCTTTATAGCTTTCTTCTCCTGTAGACGATGGTTTTCGTTTCTCTTTGTGAAAATGAATGTTTGGGCGATCCAAGTTCCCTACTACCACGAGTGGTTTGTCGAGAAGGAGAGAATTCGTTAAGGATTCTCTTACGTGTTTTGGAGCAGTTGCAGTGAGTACTAAAAATGGAGCGGAAGGGAAAATAGAACCTAATTGCGACAGATTGCCAAAATCAGGTCGAAAATCAAAACCCCATTCTTCAATAAGATGCCCTTCGTCAACAACACAAGCAACAACACGCATTTGTAGTGCTTCTGAAAGTAGTATTTGTCTACCTTCCCTGCAAGAAATAAATGCCTCAGGATGAGCATAAATTAGTTTAAACTTTCCGTCCGTGATATTCTTCTCCGTATTATTATCAAGAGACAATATATTCAATTCTCTCTCCTCTTCTGGCATGTCCATGTATTCTTCTGCGTCGTCTTCATCTTCATATGCAGTGGCTATGTTATGTTTCTTGACTGTATTTAAAACTACCGCTTCGATTCCATGGCGCTTTAGAATTGTTAGTTGATTTTGAATCAATGCATTCAGCGGTGTGATAACCAAAACGATAGATCCGTTCTTCACATTCGTACTATTAATGTTACGGTGGTCAAATATAAATGGAAGTAGATGAAAGAGGACAGATTTTCCATAACCAGTTGGAAGGACGCCAATTGTGTCCCTTCCTAAGAATAACGACTCTAGTACTTTGTATTGTTTCACTTTTAGAAAGAAATTTTGATAATTTGAGACATCCAAAGCGTACCGAACAGCGTTCATAAAATTTTGTAGAGAGTACATGTTCTTATTAGTGAGTTTGCTTATCAAACAATATAAACGACAGGTTAAAGATGCGAACGCGGGAAAATTTATTTTAAATTAGTTAGTGTTGTTATAATTGTGAGTTACATGTCAGGGGAAACCATTAATTATTTACTAGAGTAAACTCTTGCGAAATGGCGGGAAAATCATAAAAGTATGTCATCGAACGAAAGAACACCTCGCAAGAAGCATTACTCGGGAAATAAAAACATTTGTTGCCTTTGTGGAAACGATAAACATATTGGAAAGTTTACAGACGTGTGTAGCAACGTTGGTAAAGGAAAACGGCTACCAGAAATAATTCAGGATGTCTTGGGTTTAGAATTCGAGGACATTGAGGAACAGCCAACTAAAGTCTGTCGAAGTTGTCAAATCAAACTCGACGGGTTCTCCAAATTCAAATCATCTGCTTTAACCATGCGAAAAACCATTCTTGGCCAGGTGACGTCGAAGAGATGTCTTGTGTTCTCTCTTTCCGAGTCTGGTCCGAATCCGAAAGCCACTTGCACTGCCACATCCGACATACATCCTCATGTAGGGTCTGAAACGAATGCTGATCCAGTAACTAATAAAGTATGTAGTTTGTGACTCTAATAATATTGACAATTACAGATACGTAATTGAACAGATATGAACACTATTCTCTATAGATAGTTGTTCGATGTTGACCTGCCTTGTTTTGTTTTGTTTTATACTGAGCCATGCATGAAAGTGTAATAAAATGTATAATTTATCTAGCTCAAATTATAAATAAAACCACTTCACACTATTGAAAATGACATCATTCTTACCATTCATTATAGCCACCTGGAAAATGTTTGAGTGACCAAGATGTAGTTAGCCTCTCTGAATCTATAGAATATGGCTCATCTTTGGTGATTGCAAACACGGTTGGTGGCATTAATGCAATCAGACAGCAGTTTATTAATAAACTATTAAACGAAATCAAGCAACAATGTAAAAAATTATGCGCAAGATCATCGCCATCCGTACTTAGGAAAAACGGCTTTTCTGGTATGACAGAATTTGACTGGCCGAACTTAATATCAGAGATGACAACTAATTGTCCATTACTGCTTGATGTTATACTGGCTGCTATGAATCATGAACCGACTGAACCAATCGAAAATATCGCTCCAAGAATTGGCATGTGCTATGCTATCATTATGCAAACCAGAAATCACGAGCTAAGCTTGGTACAGCGAATAAATACGATCCTATTGGCCGAAGGAAATGCCAGGAAGAAGGTTATTATTCTATAATATTCATTCTATTTATCAGTGCAGGTTACTCGCCTTTTCTATATTACTCGCCTTCAGCCTATACCAGAACACGCTATTGGGTCTGCATGGAGACTGATTTGTCATGTGGACAGACTTGCTTGACATGCTTGACGTTCCCCCTTCTGATCAATATATGTTTCAAAAAGATAAAATGACATTCGTTCTGCAGAGAAGTCAAATACGTAATGACATTTGCAATTGCACCACTTATTCTTTGATCACCCACTACAGTCCATTCCCAATTTCTTCATCTCTAAGACTAAGTATAATTTCTAATATTCATCCATAATTTAAGTTACATGAAACTGACGTTCTATTTTTTTAAAGCTTTTCAGGCAATGCCAGAAAATGGGCTTCTCATTATCTCATCAGAGCAAAACCAATCTATTGGACATCGTAGGCCATCACTTTGCCGATACTTTGATAGAAGAAATCAAAGATGGTAAAAAATTACAGGGCATTGGTGACAACTGGGATCTGCGAATAAATGTTCATGAGATGCAGTTGGGCAATCAAAATATTGATTTGCATTATTTTGCATCATGCTTGATTGTCGAAAGAGTTCCGTGCAAAGACCTCTCGGCTATTGCGCCACAAAAGGACGTGCTAAGTCTTCCTAACTCAGCATTTCTTTTGAACAATAGTGAATCAATTGAGCTACGAGAAAATTTCAAGGTATTAGTTGGACGAGTTCTGGTAGAAAATGTCACACATCTGTCCTTTATGAAGAGTATTATCCCGACGCACATTCCACATGATTACGAGCGAGAAACAGCCTTGAAATCCACCATTGTTCCGTTGTCTATGCAATTAAAAGACGAGAAGAAATACGACGACGTTGTAGACATTCTCGACTATTATGAGCAAGAACTGGAAAACATTTACGCTAAAGCAGGTGTCATTCAGAAGCCAGCAGAAACCAAAGAAGGGCAAAAACCCACATCAATTGAAGGGCTAACTTCAGCAGCTGACCAACCAGGAGCCCATTGTAACAAGAAGGACGACAATGATCACATGAAAGCCATCGCAGTCCCATTTGGTGGCGATCAGATGACCAGAGTCAGGTTTGCTGGTGCAAAAGATTTGCGATCAGGAGCTCACACTGCAAAAGAACGACTCGACCACTGCAGTCCATTTTTCTCGGCACCATTTCACACGAAAATGGCATTTGTACAGGTACAATACAAATCATAGTTTGTGTTAAATACGGTTGCAAATCAAATCACAAGGTCCATCATGTTATTTAATTTGTTCAGAATACGAAAAGGATTCGTGCAGGGAAAAAAATAAATAACTCATGCATGTACTATAGAGGGAGTATGAAAAAAGTGGACAATTTTCAAACGGCTCTCCACTTCACAAATCGGTTCATTTCTTAAAATGTTTGATACATTTGTTTGGGTATTAAATTATAATGTATAGAACAAACAAAAAAAGATCGTAAAGATAAATATTACAGATCGGAGGGGTTATGCAGTGTGACCAAAATGTTCTTCAAATTTTACTAAAGTAGACAAAGTACGCACAAAACGGTATCTCTAGGTATCTAGCTGATACGGTATCTAGCTGATGAGGTTTTATTTTTTAGGCTTGGCAGTTATGTACATCACTTCGAGCACGTTATTAAACAAGAAACACACATTTTTATCAAAATGATTATAATAATTAAAAAAAACAACTTCAAATTTTCTTGAAAGTTCAAGAAATTTTACTAAAACCAGGGACGGATCCAGGGTTTTTGATGACCGGTTTACTAGGTTCACCCAACTAATAGGGGGTCCCGGTGCATGCCCCCCTGACTAACACGCAGCTCAAACGAACTAAAAACCAAACTGCAAGAAAAGAGCGTGAAAGCTTCGCAATCATTAACTGATTCTCAATCGCCAAAGCAATCGTCAGTTGGTCTAAATACTCTCGGTAGTCCATAATCAAATTTCAATAGTAGATTAGACAACATCAATTTTATGAAATTGGAAGGTTATAGATTTTCTTTCTTTGGAGAATCTGTCAGGGTTATGTAAACCTGCCCTGTCAAACCTGTCTGAATCCGCCCCTGAAAACTGTGCAAGTAAAACTTTCTACCAATTCTGGTTATGTTTTAGCAGTATTAAAAATAGATTGCACATGAAATTTAAAAGTTTAAAATGCATTTTGAATTCAAGGGCCAAATATCAGAAAGTTTACTAAATTTTAAGTCCTTTAATTAAATTAATGATTAAGCATGCTAAAGGCTGATACTTTAGAGAATTATATTTTGCGTGAAGAGTTTAATGGCTTAAACTAAAGCAACATATTGTACTATAGTTAAAATCCGCACAAATTTCCCAGCCATAAACTCAAATACAGTTAAAGCTTTTAAATTTCATGCGCAAAACCATTTTTAGTTTATGGGAACAGAACCCCCCCCCCCCCCAATTGTTTACAAAATTGGTTTTCGAGAAACTTTAATATTTCTTTATTATACATTGTAAGTACCAAAGGAATTCTATATATATCAAACACCTTATACCAGGAGCTGCTATATATAAAACGAAAAACTATATATATATATACATATATATATATATATATATATATATATATATATATATATATATATATATATATATATATATATATATATATATATATATTATATATTAAAAATTTTTTAAACTATTTTTAGTTCATCTACAGTTCACTGCATAAAGCCGGGTCTGTACGAGAAGTTGGCACCCTGAAATTCTTCCGCGAGAAATATAACCGCAGGAATGTGACACCAGAAAAAGTAACCAAATCATACGAGGGGTCAGAGCAGTTTCTTCTGAGTGTTGGGAAAGCCTACCTCTTAGAAGCGGCAACGTCATTTTGGGGAATAGAAAAGCTCGACGATCAGCCAACAGAGTATGTACCACCAGCTGGAATTGCTCACATGACTAAGGAAAAGAAAAAAGAATACTTCAATTTGGTTATTGGGAAATTTGTGGATGAGTATATCATACCAGATCCTGAGAGAGAAAATGAACTTCAAATAAACAGTACCAAAGAAGGCTCATTTGAAGCAGACAGAGTGAGGTGGATGTAACACAAAATATTTATTCCATGCATACATGTTTGCAATCAACATAAATAATCTAAACTTGTGGAAAATTTTTATAAATAAATACAAGTCAAAAAACAATATACCTAATAACGGTACTATTTTCACCGTTTCCCTATCTTTGTAGGCATCCAATGTCAGAGTAAATACCCCCCTACCCCCACCTTATAATAGGAAATGATGGTGTCAATTAAGCATTACTGATTACAATGCGATATATTGTTTTGTGTTTGACAGATTCTATGGATTGAATATGATAGAACTATTTGTGTTCCTAATGCAATTGATTGACACAACCAAAGAAGGTAACAATTATATTATTAACCCTTTTAGTGGCAACGCAATCTGATACACCCTACTTTAGTAATTTACTCCGTCTAACGATTTTACTATGAAACCATGTGCAGACAAATATATGAAAACCTAGACGTATCTAATGTAATGCATACAGTGGGAAAAACTACAGTACTGTAACTGATTACTGGAATCATCACCATCAAGAATACTGATGTACAGGTTTAATAGTAAAACACAAATGTAACTAAAAGATAATGACAGAGTCTATTAAACAATTATTTACAACGCTAATAAATATTTTATACACTGATCATAGTACATTAATGATGGAAAGTTCTTATGTAATACCCATTTTACTTTGAATGTACAACCAGCATGTTATATATTCCTAATACACTACATCGTACATATTTTTAGGTGATGGCAGAAGGAATAACATTAATAAAAAGCGACTCTTACAGTATTTCAAATCATCAAGTTCTTGCCAGAACTACTCAGTTGAGATGTTCACAAGTATCGCCCAGGTTGAAGCTATGTTGTCCGAAGAAATGGCCCACAGACTGACATGGGGACAGTTCGTAAATTGGAATGGAGGTCAAGGCAGGAACATAGCTTGCGATATGGCCCAGGAAATCTGTAACAGGGTAAGCAAAGATGTTGTGAAAGGAATGGGTGCAAACAAGACCACCAAAGCGATGGTGAGGGCATCGAGGGCTGCAGCCGGTGTCAAACAAGTTGTGCAGGCAATGGAGAAGGCATCAGATATTAAAAAAAATTCCAACAAGCACAGCCACAAGAAGTCAGATGAAGATGAGTTGCTGATGTTTCAAGATCTCAGAAAGCTAAGACCTTTTGCCATTATATCCGGTCGACATCACAACCATTTCCATGATATTGCTCTTTCACCAACCAGTACCATTGACATGAGCAATTTCTTTAAATGGCTACAAAAGCACAAGAGACAAATCTCAATGGGATTTAAAAAGTAATTGCAGTAAAACACCGCATATAAAAACCTATAACTTAAGAAGAACCTATTAGGCTAAAATATTTTATTTAGACCCCCTTTAGATTATTTATATCAAATAGAGTCAAAATTAAGTAACAATTTACAATCTGTGTACCTTTAAGTGCATAATTATACAGAGTTGGCATAGTGCATTATAATGTCATTTTTTTGCAATTCAATTGTGCATTTTTTGTATAAATCAAAAACTATACATAAATAAAATGAGTCGCCTTTCTCTTAAAAGCATGTTTTTAGCCTAATATCCCACTAAGTTTTAGTATATTGAACTTGACGGTTGTTGATCATTTTTGCTATGGCATATACTGTTTATTTTAACCCACCAAGCTGCAGAGCATCCCCATTGACGAGTAAAATCATCTGGCGTTAGACAAGTAAAAAAAGGTGGGGCGCACTGGAGTGCCTTGCGGCTCATTATGGGTTAGCTCTAAATGGCAAGACTATCCCCTTTAAGAATAAAATTGTCTGGCGTTAGACATGGTAAAATGTTAAAGTTGCATGGGTACACTGCTTGTCAAAAAACGTTAATTTTAACAAGAAATGGCAGATAGATTAAGTTAAATCATTAACTATTGAGTGGCAGCAATCTCCACCTTGATACATAAAGTAGTATGGTATTAGACAGAGTAAAATAATAATTAAAGCAGGGCACATATAATAAAGTAGGGCCCTGTGCTACTTTTAAAAATTATTAACAGGGTGCATAAGCAGATGGTCTGCTTAACCCAATGAGTGGAAGCATTCTCCCCCTGAAGAGTAAAATCATCTGGTGTTAGACAAATAGAGAATAATACATGGGTTTGCAGAAATACAATAATTATGAGAAATAAATCTGGTATTTCTAAGCACCCATGTATTTTTCTGTTTATTATATATAATAGACGGTACAGAAAAGTGATAATTGAAAAGTGATCATTTTCACATGTGAAATAATCATAAATAATCTCACATGTAGACAGATTAAAATAATAAAGTAGGGCACATTGACACTTAAACGGTTAAGCACTTCAGTAAGACTTTCCACTTGACCAGTAAAATCACTTATATAGGTATTAGACAAAAAGTAAAAGAATAAAGTTACATGTAGGTGCATTTCAAATCAATTGGTTAAACATTTTTACTTATTGCTGATAAATAGCAATCATGGCAATTGTTATTATGGTTTTTATCAGCAACCTTCATATATTCTTTGTTTGCAATCTAAATGATGGGGCAAAAGAATGGTTGTAGCAAGAAAACTTAGCGGTAATTCATCTTCTGAGTCTTAAGGCCCATCTACACGATACGATTAGTTGTATATGATTCTTAATATCCTGGCGTATGTACTGTATTCAAATAAATGCATGTAAAAAGGTCACATTTCAAACTTCATTTTCCCACGCCAGAATACGAATCGTATACCACGTAGTTGTGTCGATCGTGTGTGGGGGTAATACGCCAGTTTATGGAGTACTTGACCAGATGTATTTGCTCAGCTCTGTCGAATTTCTATACTTGCTTATTAATCTGAATTTAGACTGTCTCTAAACTCAAATTGTATTTATTTCTCAAAATTTAACACATCACTCAAAGAATTAAAAACACTGTCACTCATTTACAAAACAACTACTCTAGGTACATTTGACATAAACTTATGAGTTGAGCACATAAGTTGCACATGCGATGTGAATTGTAACTTATAAATATATTGTAATATATATCATTTAGTTGTAAATATATTTTTCACATTTAATTAATATATAGATATTTACATATATCACACAATAAATGTAATCAATAGAATTTTATACGTTTCAGTATTATATGGCAAACGATAAAGTATAAACATTAAAAAGACAGATACTGTACCTTTCTCAACTGATTTCTCAACTCCTTACTCCTCGACATCTCACAGTTAAACTTAGCATTGTTGCCAATATGAAACGCTATACGATCCAAAATGGTTCACACAACAGCTATACTTATTTCTGATGCTCATGATGAGTATTTTAAACAGTTTTTACCGACGAAAGTGTAAAAATATATGCACTATAATTTTATTAACACACTAAAACAGAATTTAACAAGCGGTAAAACGCTCCCCCCTGCTCATACATACCACGTGACAAAATAATCCACAAATTGTCAACCTCGTACCCAGGGCTTCTGCGCTTATTGCTCTCAGAAGCCCTGGGATAATCCAAACCGGAACACCATAGAACAGTGGTGCCCCCGGAAGCGGAAGTAAACAGTAGCTCCAGCTAAAAACGCTGACTGGGCATATTTTCACGCAAGGAGTGAGAATGGATTATTTGTTGCAATTTATGATATATTTGGACTTGTAAAGACGTCTTAAACTGCTTCTCGCGTGGCTTTTGGAATTTAAAGTCAGGAATGATCAATTTAGAGATACAATTATGCGTAAAATTAGCCCTTTGGCGAGCAAAAGAACATCTTATATCGCGACAACAGCATAGCTTGTCAGCGATATACAGGGGCTATTCAATAATTAAAGTATAAATATTTATATTCGAGTACAACCTTGGTCATTTCAAAATTAACAGACTAGAAATCTTACTGGTAACATGGCTGGCTGCCGATTATCTTGGATTTGAGGGTTTTGAACAAGATATTGCAAGATTTAATTATAAATGCACAAGATATATTGTACTGTAATATACACAAACAAGGAAACAATACTATTTCAAAAGAGCTCTTGTTGTTATATTCGTCTTGTATACAATCACATTTTTTCCAGTCTCTACCTGTCATCAGATATCTATATAAAACGTCTCTTATTACTTAATCCCTATTAAACCATATAATCACTAGCATATGTTACAATATCCCCCTCTTTAATTGAGAGCGTCCTCGATCTTTAGTTCATCTAAGTTATAATCCTGATATCTATCAGGTTGTCGGCGATTACGGTTAGACCTACGCAATTGGATCAGCTCCTCTGCTGGTAACAGCTGTGCGTCCGCCAGCCTCTCTCCGTGATGTATCACTGGCTCGCCTGGGAGCAATTCGACTCTCGAGTTGTGCTTTTCTGGTTGATCAACAAACAGGGTTTCTTCGATTCTAGGCTGGCGTATGTCTAGCTTAAGTCGATTGCGATGTACCACTCTTGTCTTACCGTTCCCAGGCCCCGGCTTGATATGGTAGTTTACCTTGCCCAGTCTCTTGATCACTACGTAAGGCCCCGTCCACGGTGAATGGAATTTTCGGCTCAAGCCCTTTGGTACCGCTTTGTTATTGAGCCACACCCGATCCCCTTCCTTTAGCTCTGTACTTCGGTCAACGTCATTATGTTCGTCGTACCCTTTCTTCTGCTTACTTTGCGCCACGTCAATGTTCGTTTTGATGCTGCGATGTACGTCCTTTAATGTCTTCTCCAGTTCATCACAGTAATTTGAAATAAACTGTTCCTTAACTTCAGTTTCGGTGTCCATAAGTACCAGCGGTGTAGTGGCTTCGCGACCATAAATTGCCTGGAAAGGTGAAACCCCAGACGAGGAATGCACACTGTTACGGTATGCAAACAAGGCCAGTGGTAAGTGATCGTCCCAATCATTATGGTCCTTAT